TGGTATGTGTCATCCTCAAGCTTGGGTCTGGGAGTTTGAGGGTTCTGCGCAGTATCTCAGCTGTTCCTAGGACTGCACTCTTCTGGACAGAGACATCTGATGTTTTACCTGGAATCTGCTGTAGCCACTCTCCCAGTTTGGGGGTCACAGCCCCCAGTGCTCCGATTACCACTGGCACCACTGTTTCTCTTACTTTACACATCTTTTCTAGCTCCTCTTTCAGTCCTTGGTATTTCTCAAGCTTCTCATGTTCCTTCTTCTTGATGTTGCTGTCGCTTGGGATTGCCACATCTATCACCGCAGCCTTCTTCTGCTGTTTGTAGATCAACACGATGTCTGGTTGGTTAGCCATCACCAGTTTGTCAGTCTGGATCTTGAAGTCCCACAGAATCTTCGCTCGGTCATTCTCAATTACCTTAGTAGGTGTCTTCCATTTTGACCTTGGGACTTCCAGCCCATACTCATGGCAGATGTTCCTGTACACTATGCCAGCTACCTGGTTATGGCGTTCCATGTACGCACTTCCTGCCTTCATCTTTCACCCTGCTGTTATGTGCTGTACTGTCTCAGGGGCATCCTTGCACAGTCTGCACCTGGGGTCCTGCTTGGTGTGGTAGACCACACCATTTCTTGATATCAGCCACTTCTTCTATTTGTCTGTGGTACATGCCGTGCAGTTGCTTTTCCTTCTATGAAGGTTCTTCAACTTCCTTGTCCTCACCCTTGGGTTTCTGCTGCCTGAGGTATTCACTTCAGTCCTTCATCTTTGGGGGCCATCTTCCTGATATACTCTTGGATCTTTGTCGTTTCATCCTGGACAGTGGTCTTGAAACTCACTAGCCCTCTGCCTCACTCGCTACGCTTGGTGTACAGTCTCAGGGTGCTGGATTTGGGGTGAAACCCTCCATGCATTGTGAGGAGCTTTCTTGTCTTGATGTCAGTGGCCTCTATCTCCTCCTTTGGCCAGTAAATTATACCAGCAGGGTTTCTGATGACTGGCAGGCCATATGTGTTGATGGCTCGGATCTTGTTCTTCCCATTCAGCTGACTTTTCAGGACCTGCCTTACTCTCTGTAGGTATTTGGCTGTGGTGGACCTCCTTGATGCCTCCTCATGGTTTCCATTAGCCTGCGGCACCCCAAGGTATTTGTAGCTGTCCTGAACATCTGCAATGTGTCCTTCTGGTAGTTCAACCCCCTCAGTTCTGATCACGTTCCCTCTTTTTGATACCATGCGGCCACACTTGTCCAGTCTGAACGACATTCCAATTCCAGGCCTATGCAGAACAGCAGCGAGAATAGTGCCTTGGTATATATCACACTTGATGGTGACTTGTGCAATTGGCTTTGAGTTGGCTTCCAGACTTGTTTTCCACAGGCCCATTGAGTTCTTGATGAAGGCTATTAGTGTCCTGTTGATCTTGTACATTTCCAAGCATTCCAGTATCCATGTATGTGGCATTTGTTATGAGTTCCATTTTTTCCTGTGGGCATTGAGTTGTAGACTTTCTTGTAGTCAATCCAGGCGGTGCACAGATTGGTCTGCCTGGTCTTGCAGTCTCGAGTGGCTGCTCTATCAATCAGTGGCTAGTGCTTGGCTCCCCTGGTATTACTGCCCATTCCCTTCTGGGCCCTGTCCATGTATTGAGCCATGTGCCTACTCATCTTAGCCGCTATGATAGCTGACAGGAGTTTCCAAGTTGTGCAGAGGCACGTTATTGGCCGGTAGTTGGATAGAATTGTTCCTTTCTGGGGGTCCTTCATGATCAGGACTGTCCATCCTTGGGTTAACCACTCTGGGTGGGTCCCATCAATCAGCAGTTGGTTAATTTGTGCTGCCAGGCGTTCATGGAGTGCAGTTAGTTTCTTCGGCCAGTAGGTGTGGATCATGTCAGGGCCTGGTGCTGTCCAGCTCTTCATACCTGCCACTCTTTCTTGGATGTCTGCCGTTGTAGTGGTTACTGGATCTTGTTCTGGGAGATTGCTGTGATCTGTTCTTAGATCCACTTGCCACTGAGCAGTGGTGTGGGATGCCTCTTTCTCCAGTACTGTTCAGTCTCAGCCCTGGGTGGGTCTGAACTTGTGTTATTACCCTGCCACTGAGAGTACACTTTGGATGGTTCGGTGGAGAACATCTGGTTTATTCTCCTGGCTTCTGCTTCTCCCTTGTATTTCTTTAGGCGAGTAGCCAGAGTGGTAAGTCTTTGTTTGGCAGTCTCCAGAGCCTCAGGTATCGACAGCTTGTTGTATTCTTAGGTAGTCCCTTCCTTGCACCTTTCTGTAGCTCTGAGAGCTGACTAACCTCTCTTCGTGTTGCTTTGATCTTTGCCTCTAGCCTTCTCTACCATGGGGAGTAATGCTCTTTGTGGCTTGTGGTGTTCATCTTATAGCCAAGTATCTCTAGGATCACTGTTGCTGTGGCGTACATCAGCTCATTGGTCTCGGTTATGGCTTTAGTGGGCAATCTTTGTCATTGTACTTGGGGGTCCAGCTTGTTTACGATCTTCAATCGCAGGTCAGGCGCCCTTATGTTGAGTGATTCTGTGCCGTAAGGGCTTGTTATTATTGGGGCTTGGGACCCAATCTCTGAGTGTGGGGATGATGATGACATCTCTCCGCTGACCTGTCGTCCTGGCTCCCCCTTGCCGTAGCATGTTTGTTGTACCTCATCAATCTCTAGTTGTGATAGGGGTTGCCGTTTGCGGATGTTTGAACACTGAGCTAGGAGTTGTTTCTTTATCAGTGTTGATGATGGGTTTCGAAGCATCCATATACCCTACAGTCTCTGCATATAACCTCTCTCACCAGGATTGCTTGTATAGTAGCGTTGTATCAGATCCATATTTTCTGTTCTATTCCATTCCAGTAGCCCATTTGTCATCAGGTTACCCTGGTTCCCTAGCACCTGATGCGGACCTTGTTGACCTGGACAACGTCCGAACCATTATGGCTCTTGTATTTGCGGTTTCACTCACGCCTGAGGTAGGCAAGTAGCATTAAGAACCTTGCCCAAGGGTCCACCTGGATACCCCCACCCTGATTAACCACTGAGCTATATAGCTATATATATAAATAAAATAACCTTACAGTCATAGGAGGCATTTTTCTGCAAAACGAGTACTTTCACTTTAAACACATTTTGCTGATATTCTTCTTTTACATAAGTAAGATTGTGAATGGAGGACTTTTACTTATAACTGAGTCTTTTTACATTGTTCTATTGGTACTTTTACTTAAGTAAAGGATCTGAATACATCCTTCACCCCGTATTAGTGTGTTTGAGTACCAAATGCCTGGTAATGTTAATGAAGTGTGAACTGATCAGAATTCTCTAAAACTTTCCTTTGGTTTTCTTGGTGCCTTCATAACTAAAATAACAGATGGTCTCATCAACCCAGTAAACAAGAGCGAACTTACACATCTGAGAAACCCACAGCCAGCTTGGCTGAAAACAGACTCTTGCCATTACTAAGAGATGGAGTGGAGAAGTCTAGTGCACACAGATGCTGTAGAGCAGCAGAGAAAACATACTCCATGACCTCAGCTCCCACTTGCCTGCATTTTCATCTCATACACATCCTGAAACTGTTTCCTTTTTATACCAAGGCTTTGCATGAAGGTTGCTGGAATCTTCCACTTTACAAGTACCACAAAAAGGTTTGTTGAAGCACAAATCACTCCAGGGGTCCTGTGTCAGCCATATAGTCTTGTCAATGACTTAAATTTACTTAGTTAAATGTACTAGAATAATTTGAATATCCTTAATTGTCTTTCTACGAGAATTGTGATATTGTAACATGAGTTTACACAGTCAAAAGCTAAAAAAAAACAACTTAATGCTATGTAACATTACAAAACCATGACATGGTATGTTTGCTGGACAACAAAGAGCACTGTTGAAATAGAGCAAAAATAATTAGTGTTAAAAATACTTGTGGTGATTTATACATTTCCACACACCAACCAGACAGTGTCCCTAATAAATCTGGTGACAAAGTGTAAATAGAGCGAGACATTCCCAGACACCTCACATGGAGTTATTGCCAGGTGAATGTTTTCTCATGACAAACACGCAACAGGCATGTGGTGTGAAGCTCTACGTTCTTTGCTGACATTTCCGAAAAACATAAACATGCAAAATGGAATTATTTCAGGTATTTCTCTGAGGTGTGTTATTCCAAAAGCATTTAAGAAATGTACCACTCCCCACGCTAATGGCCCTCAGCTTGTGTTGCCTACTGTTAAAGGTTAATGAGCAGTGGAATGACTTCATTTTGTTAAATATTTGTTGTGATGGAGACCAGTGGTTCCATTACCTGACATAGTTAACTGAGTGTCTAGGTGAGGATTATTGATAAAGCAGGAGCCATACACAGTCTTTTTTTGATTGTTTATTTAGGTTGTTAAATATTTGATAACTTTCTTTGCTGTGAGTAGTTTCAGAGGAGGTCAAGGAAGCACAGCAATCCTGCCTGTGTGAAAAGAAACCTCAAATCAGTAATATTCAAGGTTCACAACATAGTATTAAGTGATTCTACTCTGGTCCAGTTAGATATCAAATTAGCTCACACAGATAAAGCAAACAATGTTAGTACTCACCTCTTCCTGGTTGTCTCCTCAGCAGGGGGCGAAAGCAAAAGAGCATGGTAGGCCCAAGCACCTGCTTAAGAGCTGCAGGAGCAAGCCATGAAGCTGAGGGTGGGGGGAGTAAAGAGCTCAACAATGCTGATTTATGTGATTATTTTGAGTGTATGCGATTGATTGTTTCATTGATAGAAATTTGTATTTATGTAAATATTATAAAAATGATGGTGGTCCCACCTAAGTAGTTTTACCAACTTAATTACCTGCAGGAGGGAGTGTATATAAGGCAGCTAGTTGTGTTCAGTGTAAGTTTGTTGCTGGTTGGTGTTGGTGTCTCACCTTGTCTGTGTGGAAGACAATAAATTTATATCCAAAAAAATGAATAAACTTTATTATAAAACGTCATAAAAACACCTTTCAAACAATCAAATTGTTAACAGAATATCCGTTGCTGTTGGGTAATAGCTGGGTAATATAAATCGCACCAAATCATAAATGCCATACTGTTCAAAATACACACATGAGAGCATACGGTTTATACATTTTTCACAGCACATAAATCCTTCACTCCAGTACGTACAGTATGTGGTCAATTTTAGACAGAGGATCTGTTTATGCTGATACATTTCAGGGGAGAAGAGCGCCACTGTTTTTTTAAGCACCAGTTTAGTCTTACAGTGACTGAATACATTTGCAAAGCTTCCTTTAGAATAACTTGTGAACGACACTTTCCTCACATTTTCTGCACACACACAGCTAACAGCACAGTCTTACCTCGATTAAAAATGATTCTTAATCTTACAAATAACAGAACTTAACATGTAGCCAGCCGGGCTGTAGCTATAATATATCATATGACATAAATACAAAGACATTAATTTATATAGTAGCAAACATTTGAATGTAAAACAGCTGCACACAGAGTAGCAACTGTACATAAAGAGCAACAAGAAGATATAAAGTATATGTGTCTGGGGGAAATCTTCAGTCAGGTCAGCTTCTGTGAAACAAAGAATAGACATCAGTGATGAGCCATTCTTTTGCTTCCGGTCTCAGCTATAAGGAGCAAGAACACTACAAGACTTACACAGTGATCCTGCAGTTTCTTGCCTGGACGTAGCTTCCTGTGTACCTGATGTCACAGCGCACCTCATTGTTGGAGAAGTCTGACTCCTGAACCAGCTGAGAAGGGTTCACTGTCACCTGAGAAACAGCAGAAACAGCTACAAAGTGTAAATATATTTTATTTGATTGACCGTGTGGGTGCTCCGGCTTCCTCCCATCATCCAAAACATATGCAGGCTAGGTTAATTGGTTTCTCCAAAATTGTCCTTAAGTGTGAGTGGTGCGATGAACTGGCAACCTGTCCAGGGTGTACCCCACCTTTTGCCTGATGTAAACTGCGATTGGCTTTAGCCCCCCGCCACCCTGCAAGTTATCCTGCATGGATAAGCGGTTGACGATGGATGGATATTCTTAAACACTCTCACCTGGAGTATGTAGTCTCCAGGTGGTACATCAGTGATGTCAATCCACTGGCAGTCGATGTTGGCGTGATAAGTATCATAACAACCAGGACCGAGCCCCTGAGAAAAATCCAAACTTATATGAAATTTATGTTGGATTTCATCTATATTTCATCTATATCATATATAGAGACATAAAATACCTAATCAAATACAAAAAGTAATATAAATCAACTGATGAATTAATAAAATGATGGAAGGATAGATCAATGGAAAAATAAATACATAATAAACCAGGAAGCCCAACCTGTGTGTGAGCAGTGCAGGCGAAGCGTCGTCGTATTCCCGGGTCACAGGACGTGTCCTCTAGACAGAAACTGGCTTTGTGTCCCTCAGCGACCTTCTGGCCGGTGGAGACGTCCAGCAAGTCATAGTTACTGAAGGCCTCCATACTGTGGTAATGCCTGCAGACACAAAGAGAGAGACACAAAGACAATGTGTTGTGGAAATTACCTTTTCTGTTTCTTGGTCAGCTCATGTTGATGGTTATTGTGACCAAAATATGAAACTTTATTCATGTTTGTGAAGATCCATGGAGGACTACATCTCAGTATGATGGCTGCTAAAATAATAAAGACACGAAGTATAAGAAACTCCGTAATATTTAAAACTAAATGTATTAACTGACATATATCTGATGTTTCATTCAGTGAAATCTGGTAGGTCAAAAACCAGAGTCTGCACACCACTGTGCATCGACTAGGTGGTGTGTTTGTACTGGTCTGGAAAATAACATTGAACTCACTGGTGACAGCTGTGCCATTCCCATTCATGTCTGGGCTTCACTGGGAGGAAGTCTGCTGTTCCTTGGTTCTTCACTCGCTGTGGGAACCGCAGCAGGACTCTGTAGTCCAGGTCCCTCACACTGGGATGATTTGCAGACCTAAAAGAAAGAGATACAAGAAGAGAATGAGTCATGTTTACCTTGAGTATCTCCACAATGAGTAGAAATGACACTAAGAAAACCTCCGGAGACAGCTGGGGTTGATTGCTAACAGCTTTTTGCTTGTGGTATATTTACACCACATTCTCCTCCACACACATCTCCCCTGCACATTTAACTCCTCCTCACTGACCAGTTTACATAACGGTGATTTACTGTCGAAGCGACCAAGGTGGTTTCTGGTCTTGCCTCAGTAGTTTCTGCATTCACCTCAGGAACCCTTTGCCTTTCATTTCAGAGCTTCTTTTACTTGCCAAAGTGGCTGCTCAGATCAGAGGAGAAAATCTCGGGTGGTTGCCAGGTTTGTGTCCAGCCGCTCTGTCACTCAGCTGTAGCTTCCAAATGGGACTGAGGCCAACACACATCCTAATGTGGCGACCTCAAAGGAATCCTAAATGCTTACCTTTCTGTCTTTATTCATATTTGTATATCTTATTGATTTCTGTGTCTAAAGATTTAAAATGTTATCACACAGTAGAGAGCATGTGCATAACAAAATGTCAGTCAAGGGCAAAAGGCAACAAGAGAATCACAAAAAAGTTCATTTAGACTGACATCTACTTGTATCTCCACTAATTCACTGATTTAATTAATTTGTCTTGACTTGCAGTGCAGTGTGATGTCAAATAAATGAGTGCACCTGGAAAGACAGTTCTCCTCAGCAGCACAGCGAAGTGCATACATCTGCACTCTATGGATGTAAGAGGCAGCTTGGATGTAGTAAGGGTCAGGAACCAAGTCTGGGAGGCCTGCAGAAAAAGTGAATCACAACTTAAAGGTTAAAAATTTAATATGTGCATGGAGGCACAGTTACTTTTCATAAAGATTTTTGAAAATAGAGGCTTCAAATGAATTTTGGGTCAAAAAGAGGTGGAAGCTTTTCAGTTATATTCTCTGAGAAAATTGGGGCGAAAATCCTCAATTCATAATGTGGCATAATCAACACAAATGTATGTAGTCATCAGATCATTAGCTTGAGTGTCTCACCTCTATCTATACAAGTAAAAAAAATAATAATCTGTCTATAGTTACTGGTTTGATATAAAATAGAAAAAATACATGTAGGAAATTCTAAAAAAACAAAATTATGTTGTCAATGACTAATACAGGGGCATCATATTATTAGTTTCGAAGTACTATTTGATGTGAAACACCTTAATAGCATACTTGAGCAAATTCTTCAATGGAGAACTTTATAATAGTGGTAATTTCTTCACCACTTCTGGGCAACTATTAATGACTTGCCCCCAGTCTATCAATCAACCATTTAATTTTCATTTTGCTCAGAGGCACTCATACTGGAGACATTAGTTTTATCATTAAGGGGCATTAACTCTCAGTCTCGTTAAAAATGCATTAAAATGTGCTGGAAAGGGGGATTTACATTTTGAACGTGAAAAGGAACATGGGGCATCTTTGCCTCATGCATTACTCCACTTGGTGCTTCACAATGAGCTGGAATTAATAGGGCTTGTTGATTATTCTGACTTTGATTTATAATATGAATGCGTGTGTCAGTCTTTGGTAGTAGCTAATATCATCTGTTTGCCTCACCATTATGGAAGAATCTGGTGCCATAGCCCGGTCCTGGTGGAGGGCGCACTGTGATCATGTTTCTGCGGTCTGGTGGGTAGATATTGTAGAAAACTGAGTTCCGGTGGTGAATACTGTGCGGATCCCGTGGGTCACTCCCGTCCGCAGTCCGTGTTGTATCTGGCCTTGGACGAGGAAAGTGTATTTCTACTGCGTTATTGGACAGCGCTGTGGGAGAAACATTTAACTCCGGGGTGATTCTGGTCAGTGAGTGCGCTGCTTGCGCACTGCGAGAGTCTCCCAAACTGGTTTGCAGGGGGGTGCGACGTGCATTCCCACTATCCTCTGAGATGGTGACACCTCTAGCTGTGGCAGGTGACCGGGCAGCTGAGCTCTCAGATCTTATCCTGCCACCTCGGTTGTGCGTAAAGTCCGGTGATCTTCCTGGTGAATCTGTGGCCTGTTGTGCGCCAGCGTCACGTCCAGGTGTACTCCGGCCTCCTCGTGGGAGTCCGCTGCCAGAGAACTCCTGGGTGGTGGGTGCATGCTGTGAACTGTGCCCCACAGCCACAGCTTCTCTGGTGGTTACGATGCGTCGTGGGGCCTGGCTGTGGCTCCCCGGCTGGTCCTGCGGCGAGTAAATATTGACCCGCATCAGTACCAAGAACCGACGCATCCATTTGACTGAGCTCGTTGCGTTGAGAGTGACCCTCGGCTGCATACTCGAGGTCTCCAGATCTGGTCCTGGTGGATCTCCTGAGCGCAACAGGATGGTGAACTTGGTTTAAACTGTTTTTACTTGTCAGTAAGAGCTGAGTGCGTCTTCTGGTCTGCGCCGGTGATCGATATTGAGTCCCCGTGCTCAGTAAACTGTACACCTGACCGTTATTCTCCCACTGGACCCGGTGTCTCCATGGTCCGACACTTGCGCGTAAATGGTGCTGACCGGTACCCAAACACACCAGAACCTCTAGTAGGCAAATTAATACAAGCACAAACTTCTCCATGGCTCGATGTGAAGGCGGATCTAGAAAAGCTCCAGCAATGAGTCCAGACATTAACTACGACCATTTAAGTTTGAGGTGATGGGCTGGTGTTTTGAATACACTCGACTCCGTCACGCAGTTGCGCACAGCAGCACCGCAGAGAAAGAGTCTGGGTGGAAACGTCTTCATATGTTTGTATTGTGAGTTTCTCTAAGAAAAATGCTTTTATCCACCCATGTTGCAAGGACCTGCACTCATGTCAGTTTAACCGTTTCACCACCATTAACTGGGTGGGCTTCAGATTTTATTCGGCATGCGCACGAAGCCAGTTATTAGCTAACTAACAAATAAAAAGTCTATCTTTTTGTGGAAAATAATAGAAGTTTATTTACTACAGTGAAAAATATCAAAAACATATGGGCTTTACATGCAACTCTGTGCGTCATGGCGCACACTGTCACTGCATTTAAACCATAATTCCAGTGGTTGTATGTTTTACAGTGACTCGAGGGCATCTTATTACAGAAAAGATGGAGGTGCCAGGAAATAAATTACATTGCATGTTAATAGGCCTATCTGTTGGAAGTTCCATCTCCTGGTAGCCTACTTAGCACATTGCGCATGGAAGAGCGGCTGGTGGTATTTGGAGTGTACCACCAGCAGAAACCGCACTTGGCTGTATTCAACCTGTTGAATCGCTACACTGAGGAAAAGTCGACCTCTTCGCCACACGATGGCGGTGGACCCTCACTGAAAGTCAGCTGCGACTCAGAGCTATTTTTAAAAAGTCTCGTGACCTTGTGGGTGTGTATCAGTCGCTTTCCGTTTTGTTTTTAGCTTTGAAAATAAGGCAAAGATGAGAGGGCAGTGACAAGAAAGTTCTCCTCTTTTCTATGAAATTTTGGATCAGTATGAACCTGCTGTTCAGATGAACTTCACGAACATTACTTTGAGGTCAATTTAATCCTTTACACCCCCTGTGAGTGCTTCAACGGGTATTGAAGTAACAGAATGTCTGCACTTCATATCTGAACTTGTGGTGTGTTCAAACTCAGGTCATGCTTCTATTTGCAGACTTTAATCGTAGAGTTTTAAAGAGCTTCATATCCCTCATATATTAGGCTACAGATCATTAAATTTTATAATGTGCAACATGTGAGGGAGAGCTTTACATTTGATATTCTATGTGCTTGACTTTCTACCATCACAGTTATTGCAGGATGGGTCATTTTAAAATGGGTATTTTTTATTTATTTATTTAATAGGATCCCCATTAGCTGTAGCCGAAACTACAGCTATTCTTCCTGGGGTCTGGTCTATACTGACTGAAAAAAGTTAAATACTTCCAAAAGAGGGAATCCTTCATAATCTGTGTACCAGACAAAAGCAGAGAAAACTACATTCACAAGTAGTTTGGCCTTTTATGGTGCCTTTTTATTTAGATGTCTCCATATCCAGTGTGTGTACACATGTACACATACACATGAGGTGGTAGATTGGCAGGAAGTCGGTGAGAGGCCCTCACCTTTGCCTTTAATTTAGACTGGTATCCAGTAGCGTGGTGCCAGTCCCGAGTGCATAGTGACAACCAGCACACTCCAGATTAGACCTTAAAAAACGTCCTGTATTTGGTCCTGCACCAACGTCACAAGAACCCGCCTCTTAATACATCCAGACACTATGGCAAGCACTCCAAGCCTTTCAGCAATCTGAGTGAATATAAATCTATGAGTGAGTGTAAGAAACAGGAGTAGGGAAGTGTGTATGTGACTGCCTATGTGTGTCAATCGTAAGGACACGATCACGGGGTCCAGGCCTAGTTGGCTCAGGCAAGCTGTAACTGGATGAATATCATCCCTCGAACATGTTGGGTGGTCTCTCACAGTGCTTAAGCACGTAAAATATCTCCTCCCTTGCTAACTCGCTGACACACATGATTTAAACCACCTCTCTTGGTACTGTGGGATCTGACACCATCAATGAACAGTGAGTTTTGGAAAAGAGGCAGGATTTTACTGGAGGCCTGTTTGTTTACAATTTCCAGATTTGACCTGTGAAATGTATTAAATAATAAAATTAGTGGATTAATAAAATATTAATCTGGAAAGTATCTGCTAAGTGAAGTAAAAAGTATAATATTTCCCTCTGACATAAAGGTGAGGTAGAAGTATAAAGTATGTAAAGTAAATTATTTCAAAACAGTAGTTGTCTAAATGTGAACATGTGGATAGTAAACTTCAGTTTACATGCTGCAACACTAAGTGAGAGTTTTTCCATGTTGGTAATAACCCTCAGTGTCCTATGACGCACACCGAGAAGAGGTTTGTGAATCCAAAACAAAGGCCAGACAGACTCATCTGTCCACAACACAAATTTAAAACCGCAGAAAACCAAGTTTCACAAGGCCTCAGAGCACGTACTTCATCTCTTTTCCAAAGTGACATTTAAGAGAATGGCATGACACCTAACTGATGCACCTTCTCAAAGTTACCTTGCATTCAGTACAGTATGTGCATACACATGAGAGCTAAGAAGTGCTATCATAAAAACTGAAAATAGCCTTATCCTCAGTGTAACACTGCTCTCAGGCAAAATAATCATGTGTACCTGATATTATGGACTTAAGCCAGGCATGCACTGTTGCTGGATGTTTTTCAGTCACATGATTTAGTAAAGTGTGGGTAATGTCAGGTTTGTCCTGGAATACACCCAGACTTGATTTGTTTTCACTGTAAAGCAGCTTGGGATATTGCAGCCTCTGTTTCACAACAGTTCAAACGTGCATCGGTTGACGTGTGCATGAACACGTACACAGCATGCACGTGTAGCTGGCACACGAAGTGTTGTAAACCTTCTGAGTATGATTATGTATGTGTGTGTATCGTCACAGGAATGTTTTGTTTGGTTCATGTTTGCCCACGGTGAACAGATCCACCTGTGTGCGTGCTTCCACAGCCACCACACACACTGCTGTCATTTTTAGCACCGGGAGTCCAGGCCAGTGTGGTTTTCTCCACGTCCACCTGTTAGAGCGTCACGACAATCACCTTGTCACTTCATTTCCACAAGACACACACATGACAAATTACGTGTACATACAGCTGATGTCATTAGGAACTGAAAGCATGCGGTAAGGGGTCAATAAAATGAAAGGGAATACATTATATGCTGGATATATATGCACTATAAGCCCCAGATGACACTCTCCTTTTCCAAAAAAACTGGAGCCCAAAGTAACCTGTTACTCCCTTCTACCTTTGAAACTCTGACTGAGAAGTCAAAGCATAGACTATGAAGTCAAAATGGCCCTTTGCTCCTCCAATGAAAGAAATAGTGGTTCTCAATCAGTGGTGGAAGAAGTACTCAGATGTATTACTTAAGTAAAACTAGGAAAACCACAGTGTAAAAATACTCTTAGTGAAAGTCATGCATTTAAAAATATAGTTAAGTAAAAGTACAAAAGTATTAGCAACAAAATATTTACATTATGTAATTTTGTAGAATAACATTTGAATATAAAGTACATTAGATTATTGGATTATGAATATTGATGCATTACTGTATAAACGTAAATGTGGGGCTCATATGAATTTATGTTTATATATTTTATATATATATATTACTTTATCTGTAGCTTGTGAATTTCCCTCTGGGTATCAATAAAGTCTTATTGATATAATAATATAATAATATAACTATAAAATAGCAGAATTTAACTATTCAAGTACCTTTACAGTGTACATGAGTATACTACTTGAGTAAATGTACTTAGTTAGTTTCCACCACATCTATGAGGACATAGGACACATTCACCTACCTGATCTATTCTTTGTTTAGCTGTCATATAATAAGCAGAAGTGTGTGACAGGATATGGTATTCCCTAAGGGGAAATGACAAATTATTCTGACCTATTTATATATGTTGAAACATAGGTGATATCAGCACGTGCCTCGGGCCTCATGTGCTGTAAATCTAGTGCTAATAAATCTTGTGGTTTGTCAATGACCTACTGAGGCATCTACTTGAGGCAAGTGAGGGCAGCTATTTCAAAGCTAAAACCCTCAGGAGAGACTGATATAGGTTTTTAACAGAGCCTCTCCTGTTTCTAAAATAGATGCAAGCAAAATTGGCTCAGCTTAGAGGTAGTTCATGTGGACTGTTTATATTCTATTACCATCATATTATCACACATTCAGATAATGAAATTAAAGCTTTTAAATGTCCTGACCGTGAGATTGTGTTTGGTAGGTACAGTTGAAACTAATCACATGAAATCCAACATCCCAGTTTCTTAATCAGTCCTTGACAAAACAGGCTCTAGTCACCTTCTTCATTAACGGTTCCCAACATTAATGGCTTGTTGTGCCCCTTCAAAATGAGCAGGATCCCTCCTCAAGATCTGAATATGCCGATGAGTTCAAGCAGTTCAACCACAAAGTGATGTTCCTTTTTTCTAATCAGACAAAAATTTATTATAGGTCTGAGATGAGAATCAACTCCCACACTCAAAAGTACTAATTAATGCAGTTGAGTACACCAGTGTTAAGAAACATCTCAAAGCCATGAGAATGTACATGAAGTAAAATGTTAAATGTTTTAACCAGAAAGATGAGTCAGGTTGTTTTTCTTTTAATTATCTGCATTCATCCACTGGTATCAGCACCTGGAGCAAGATGAATCTTTACCAAGGTGCAGGTGTAACAAGTGATGATCAGTGTTGTAAAGTCATGTTACAGGCATTAAAAGCTATAGGCTGTAGAAGAAACAGCTGTGTTTGAGTACCAGTCAAAATGGACAGTTTTCCCAAATGTGAGGATATACACACACATACACACCATTTTACCATTAATATTGGCCTACATTTAACAACCTTGTGTTGTATCATTAACTAACTTGATTATATATAGTGTTTATCCTTAACCTTTCCTATACTCCTTATGTCTGTCCACATTTACTAGGGTTAAGTATTTTACATTTATATGTAATGACAAAAAACAAAGAGATTCTTGCTGTACTGTATATAAACAGCTATAAAAAAAAAACACATTTATTTGTAGGAGAACGCAAAAAATGGTCCAGTACATGTCAGTGGTTTAACAGAACAGTAACATACTAATGATATGTTGAACAATCACTTAAAAAAAAGAAAACAAATATTCATCATCTCAAGATGATTAATAAAAAATAAAATAAAAAGACAATGATAAGTTAACATTGCTTTGTTGCATATACAAAGAATAAAATTACAAAAGCTTCATTTAAAAAAAATAAAATAAAAAATCCTTGGACTATTTACAAATTATGTACAGGGATGGAGAGGAGTCTTCCTGCTGCAAGAAAGACATGAAAAAAACATTGTTAGATGAGGTTGTATACATAAAGATACTTTTCATAATTCTACTATCATGGCTCAAATACAGTTTTATTAATATTATTATATTATAATTATTAATTATAAAATATGCATTTAAATTTTAACATTTGTATCCCAAAAGCAGAATATTTTACCTGCAGAAAATATAAAAGATACTGAATGCACTAGTCTTTAAATGTTTCAAAGCGGGATTTAAATCTCTAAAGTTGTGTAGAGACTTCTAAATTTAATTTGTCAAGTGTCAAACAGTGGCATACTTCTGTCTTTTTACCTATAAACGATTGAGCAGATTGTTCTGAATGTCCTCATACACCTGGTTGTAGATCTCCTCTTTGGGTTTCAAACCATCCAGATACGCTGCAACACACAAAACATTGCCCAGTTAAAAGATGGGTGCCAAAATTGTCTTTAAAAAACTATCAAAACTAAAACCTGAAGAGGTTACAGTGAATTTCCCAAAGAAAATATTAGCAAATATATTAAAAAAAAGGGGACACTAATCTGACAAATATGCACTGACAAACTGGCTAAGGCATCCAGGATGCAACATACCAATATTCAAGCCGCAGTCCTCCATTGCGCTCCTGTGTTTCAGGTACATCGGCCACACGTGACCATCAAACAGGCCGGGAGGGTCGGGGACAGTGTACTGTCTTGTACTAAAAAGAAATCACACTGTCAGGGAACACTTGCTGTGTGTGTGTGTGTGTGTGTGTGTGTGTGTGTGTGTGTGTGTGTGTGGGGGGGGGGGGGGGGGGGGGGGGGGCGATGTGGGGATGTAGCCACTAACATACATACATAGTTTGGATATACTCTCACCTTCTCCTTCTCTTGCACTCCTCATAGGGAATCGTGATGTAATAACACTTGTCGAAAACATCCAGCAGGGGCCTAGAAGGGAAATGTACAAGGTCATCAATGAAGATTTATCACGTCTTCAACAGAAACCAGAGTAAAAAGGAGCAAAGCTAACAAATGCTCACGCTGTCTCTTATCTGTATGTCTGCAGAGTGTCCGACATTCATCTCTAGCACGCACAGTTCTGATCACTCAGCAGTTAGCGTCAAGGACAACGCGGAGCCTCTTTCTGCTGAAACCCTTATCTCTATCTTCAAGACCCTCCCAAGTCTGCATGCAAGGCACTACATACATGTACCAATGATACACATGCAAAATTACCACCCGACACTACAGAAATAACACCACTAATCCAATGCCTGTTGTCATGAATTTCTTAGAATTTGAGAGAAACAGGATGGCCCGTTTCCTTTTTACAGAAAATGCTGTGGTGTGGAGTGGTTAAGTGAGATATTTATTAAATGTAGAACCAGAATAAAAAACATATTCCAGAGAACATGTTCTTCCACAGAAGAAATTGTACATTGTGCAAATAGACGCCAGAGCCATCTATTCGTTTGCAACAACTAACCATGCTTATCAGTATCAGTTACAGGCACATACAGGTCAGTTGTTTGGGACAAAGTTTAACCGAATGAATCAAGATAAACTTACGGGTAGTTGTAGAGCAGGAAGCCCTCCACGATCAGGATGTGGATCTGGTCATCAGGGTTGGTCACGTCAGATGCAGGGGACAAAGTGACGCCGTGAGAACGGGCGAACTTCACTGGGTTCTCGATCCAGGCTTTTACTGTGTTGGTCATGGCCTCCATATCCATAGCTGTGATCACTGTAGAGCAAGATTGATAGAATTAGAATAGACACAAGTCAAGAATATGAAAAATGGAAATGTGTTTAGCTCCAAGTTACTGGAGGTTATTATCAGTTTAATATATATATATATAAATAAAAAATGGTGTGCAAGTTATATGGTGTGCAGTATGAAGATGTCATGTTGGAGGGTGGGGGTATATGACATGTACAAGGGTAAACAATGAGTCACTGGCAGTCTTCAGTGAAGTCTTACCATCCCATTGTCTAAAGCCGTCCTCCCCGACTTCTATCTGATCAGGTTTCTGAAATAACAGTCACCAATAAAATATTGCTGCAGGCTCACAGCTCTGAACACTTGCAGATCCCACTCACATGCCAGAGTAATAAGATGAAACAAGTGCACAGAAGACAAAGAGAAGCCACACAGCAAAGGGCATGTACAAAATAAAACAAGCCATTTACAAACGTATACAGATTTATAGAAATTGGGAAAGAGAGGGGCATACTTAACACTATATTTTGTGCTGATGCTAATGGAGATGAAATAGAAAATGGATGCATCTGGCCATGTTAGAAGAAAGGTTTTGGCAAAGTAATGCAGTTAACTGAAGCCATCACAGTAGGTACAAGATTATTATTATTATTATTATTTTTTTTTTTTTAAAAAGGACACAAGCAAGAAAAAGCAGTCAGAAGAGACAACCAGGAAGAAAAACTATGACCCCATGACAATTTCCATATCTACTGTGGAAAACAGGGTGCATGGGATGGCAGCACCCACTACTTTGCTTCCATGCAATGCTCATGCAGTGTTCATAAAAGAAAAACGCAACCAAAAACACAAAAAACTCTTACTATCCACTTACTAAAACTCACCTTGAAAAAGTCATCTTGGTGCACAACACAGCAGTTGGGCAAAGTCTTGATCAATTTATTTGTCAGTGTGGTTTTGCCACCATTAGTGACTCTGTAAACAAACAAAAGGGCAAAAAGTGATAAAATTGCAGATTCATTAAAATAAATAAAGAAATAAAATGTATTGGCAGTTATAGTTCTGGTTTAAAACTAAATCATTTTTAATCAACAAAAAAAAAAAGCAGCTTTCTGTGAGTGGACAAGTGGCGCCTTTTGTTTACATTTTACATTTAGTTAGTTTATTTGATACAAGTGACAGAAAGTCACATTTGACTAAAACACTGTTAAATGTAATGAAAGGTGTGTGTGTGTGTGCGCGTGTAAAAGCTGCAGTCTCAGTAGACAAATGATGAATAAAAAGGCACACTGCTCTGCTTTCATAAAATCTGCTGAATGCGATAAAATTGTGTCATTTCCTACTTTAAAATCTTTATGTAGAATTCATCTATAATAACACGGAACGGTTTTTGTTTGGGGACAACACTAGTGTTACATCTCCCTCCACTTTTGGTCAGATCTCGCGGTGAATTTTCAAATGTCCCGCTCGATTGATGACAACAAACAAGAGACACCGGACGTGACTTTAAACTGGTTTAGTAGTCCAGCTGATACCATTTCTGGCGGGCAGCTGATAAAAGTGTGGACAAAAGAATAACGATTAACCCGGGAAGCGTTAATCACCATTACAAAATGAATGACTTTACAGAACCACAACGTAAGATGCTTACACGAACAATATCAAAACGCTGCACATAATTGTTTTAGTTTGAAGTTTACAACTTTATAAAGTACAAACTCCACTTAACTATAAGTAAATTTAGCCAAGACAACTTTAAAATATGTTACATATAAATAGATGTTAGCTCTACGTGCAAAAATGTTAGCAAACTGCGTATCTAACTTTAACTGTTGTCAATAAAAACTTACCCGCCAATTCCTATTATGTATTTCATCGTTTCGTCACTTTCGACAGTCCTGCTCGACGTAAGATGAAGAAACAGTCAAAAGCACGTTTTTACACTAAAGTTGAAGATAAAAAAACAACAAATTAAAAACGCGTCAAACACGTGTAACTTAATAAAAGATGTGACTTCTCTATATCTCTTTGTAACGTTATCCCTGCATTGACCTGTGTGCGAGGTACTGCAGTTTATATCCAGCTTGCGACGTACTGCGTCATCACACGCGCAGCCACTGGGCGTCATTTCCACGCTCACTGCGTGCCTCTTTGCAGCGGCCAATCAGCTCCCTCAGAGCTTTAGTCACCAGCCAATCACAGCCCGCGAACGTTCACATGCGTGCATATTTCAGAGTCCCTGCTCTTGTCTATCCTATTGTGTCCATCACAGCGATGGCTGATCAGCAGCTCGCGCTATTCCATTCAGTAGTTAATCCACCCGATGACCCATCTCACGGTGGAAAATTACCATTCATGGTGGCAACCTTCAATAAATAAGGTTATTCATACTCCAAAATTAGTACACATGTGGAAAAAGTACAAGCCAGGTAGTGTTATTGTATTGAGAGTTTAGGTTGGGGGGCTTGCTATAAATGTTAATTAAAGGTAGGCTACAAGTCATTTGACAGGAGGCACTTCTTTTCTCTGACTGTGGTCAGTGAAAAATGCAGCTGCCTTCAAAATAATAAGAAATTAAACACAATATGAGCTGAATGTACTTAAGTATAAAAGCTCATGAATGGCTTCTTTCAGATTGTAATACATAGCCTATCATATAATTGTTAGATTTGGAGCTATTTTTATTGCTTAATACAACATTTTGTTCTTGTAATCTATAACAATACGTCATATTTTATAAACTTATCAACTGAACCCAACGAAAAGTAATGCATTCCCCTCTGAAATGTAGTAAAGTAAAAGTATAGTAGTGGTACCATGATGTTCAAATACCTCAAATTTGTACCTCAAAAAAATGTACCCAAGTAGAGTACTTGAATAAAGTCAAGGATCTAAGGATGGAGAGTGTCATATGCTGTACAGATTGTACATATGTGATTTGTGTTTATTGGGCTATAGGCCTATAAATAAAATGGACTTGACTACTTGAGTACACGTATTTAGTTACACATACAAGCTTCATCATGTAAGCAGAGTGATAGAAATATAGGTTACAGGTTGGTAGAAGCTGGTAGAACACAGGAACCCCACAGGGCTGCTGTCTCAGCCCTAAACTCTTTTCACTGTACACATATGACTGCGCCTCCACACAGGACAATAACATCCTCATTAAGTAAGCGAATGACACCACCATCCTTGGCCTGATCAAAGGATGGAATGAGTCATCATACAGGGACCTGGTTCACAAGATCACTGTCTATGGAGAGGACAATGATCTTGTCCTCAACATGGATAAAACAAAAGAACTCATTCTGGATTTCAGGAAAAGAGCCCCCCTCTGCAGCCTGTCATCATTAAGGGGACGGAGGTTGAACGGACTGACAGCTACAGGTTCCTGGGCTTTCACATCACAGAGAGCCTTAGCTGGGTTAAAAACACTACAGCTATAGTGAAAAAAGCTCAACAGAGGCTATACTTCGTCAGGCTGCTTAAGCGGGCCAGCCTCAGACGCCAGCCCCTCTCCCAAGTCTACAGAGGACTTGTTGAAAGCATCCTTACCAGCGGTATCACAGTGTGGTATGGAAACATCACCCTGGCTGAAAGGAAATCGCTGCAGCGGGTCATCAAAACTGCAGAGAGGGTCATCGGCTCCGACCTCCCCTCCATGGACTCTATATACACTCAGCGCTGCAGGAGAAGAGCACAGGGCATCCTCAGGGACAAAAATCACCCAGCTCACACTGGGTGATTTGTGGGGAGTGGGGGGACTCAGGCTACAACCTGAGACAGCGCAGGCCTGTGAGCATCAGCACTCACAAAGCCCGCTTCCACAAAAGCTTCTTCCCAGCCACTGTCAGGCTCATGGCACAGGACATTAAGGAGGGAAAGAAATACCTCACTCCTTACTGACCACTACCTGATCCCATATACACACAATGTGCAATACTACGAACTCACCTCTAATATGTACAATATATAACATGCAATAAGTATATACAAGTATGTGTACCTTATATATTTTTCAATTTATATATGTACTTTTACCTTTGTTATGTCTTTGTTTTTTTGTTTTTCTTTTAAAGATGACTCTGAGAGACGCACAAGAATTCCAATGTACCTGTACTGCAACATACCTGTGCAAATGGCAATAAACTTTATTTTATTCTATTCTAGAAATACTGCTATAAATGTTAATTCAATGTAACAAGTAAGTCATTTGACAGGAGGCATATTAAAACACTTGTTTTCTCTGACTGAATTGTGGCTATTTAACACAATTTTTTAGTTACAGTTATTTAAATGTAAATGTATTCAAGCAGGTCTTGCATTCAAAATGATACTAAATTAAATGTACATACACATTATGAGCAAAATGTGCCTAAATATAAAAGCACCTGAATTGACCCTTTCAGAGTGTTATGCTATCATATAGTTGGTCATTTTGCAGCTATATTTTATTACTTTATACAGTATAATATTCTTGTGATCTGTAGGCTAACAATGCATCATATTTAATATACTAATCAACTAAACAAAAAGTACAGTATTTCCCTCTAAAAATGTAGTAGTGTGTTGTTTAATTGATTCAAAATTGTTTTTCAAGTATAGTACTTAGAGAAGAACAGAGTGAAAGGATTTGTGATTTGTGTTTATTGGTATTAAATGTACTTTTGATACATTCTTCATATTATACAGCACAGATTTGTTTTCGAAATCATACTATTATGCATGTATGTGCACATAATTTGAGACATTTAGACAAAAAAAACATGTTATGAAACAACACAAAATAAAGAAACCAAACACAAGCTCGACTGCCGTATCATTAATCATTAATAACTTCATACAGTCAAGTACACTTTATGTGAAGACACTCACATCCCAGATAAAGTGTGAGAAAGCAATCAGGAGCCTAAATTCAAAAGGAAACAGTCTTATTGGGACAGATGTCATGGGTTCAGTCGTGAGCCAGAGCAATGTACAGCATGCCTGTCATCTTCTGTATACTCTTTCCACAAATAGACAATGAATGTCACACACATTATGTGTAACATTCATGTCTATTTGTGTGTATGTGTCCATGTGCAAGGTGAATGCCGTGACAGCCGTCAGGGGGTCAGGGGTCAACAGTCAGGGTCCATCTCTGTCACTATTAGTGTGTAATGGAGAAAGGGTGCGATGGGTGACTCATAATAATCTTATGACTATGGGGACATCACAGGATTTGATCACAGCCCTGTCCAGACACATAAGCGTCTCCTGAAGTGGTGACAACAAAATGAAAAGATGTGCTTAAGCACCTGCATGTCCTCATCCAGTAGGATGTCTGGCATGTTGTTTAGGCAAAATGAGCTCAGCATGTTGCTTAAATGGGTTCTGGGCAACTATCCACTACATAAAGAGAGATATGTTGTAAAAAGGAAACTGCAGCATACACAATGAACATATTTCAAAGAGATTATCAGCCCACATTGTTCAGGTGTTCAGCTGTTTAGATATATGTGGAAGAGCAACATTGGTCATTTGGGCACAAATGACTGTATATTAATGGTTTCCAATTTTTCTCATGTACATTGAGTCGGAGATACTAGAAAGAAAACAGACCTGGTAGAATAGTATAGCAATACATTTTAAAATTAAATAATGGAATGAACTTGGTGATGAGTTAAAATTGTGCAGTTCTCTGTGAAGTTTCAAAAAAGCCTTAAAATGCAAAATTATAATAAGGATATAAGGATTATCAGGATAATTAAGATTGACGTTTATTAAGTTTCTTTTCTTTTTTTCCTTTTTTTTTTCCTTTTGTTTCTTTCTTTAGTATTGCTGTTATTCTGCATGCTAGTGTATAGGATAGGCAAAAATAATCCTTCGCCTTCAGCCAATTCCTTTTTCGGTTGTCATTTGTGTGAGTTATTTTGTGTGAAATGGATTGGTGTAAGCATGTATAAGACTTTTGGAAATTGCATATTCACACAAATTGTCATTCTTTGTACATTATAATGTAAACCAAAATAAACCATTCATTCATGGCATGGTCAAGGACACAAGCAACATGTTTCTTTTCATGCATTCGTTTTTGTTGTGCACTGAATGTTTACTCACAAAACACAAAACACAAAACACAAAACAATCTTTTACTGCCTTACATAAAATGAAAGCCAAGTGCAATAAAGTAGTCTTTTCATATTTTCATATTTTCACATTTTGCAGTCATTGCTTCATGATTACCAGATTTCTTTTCCTCCCTGTCAAAAGTCTGTTGTAGGATAGAGGGTGTCATATACTGTGAATGATTTTAAAACACTGTGAGGTAAATTTGAGATTTGGAGCTGTATAAATAAAATGGATTTGACTGGACATCTTGTACTTTACATTTTTCACTTGTCATAGCAGGCAGGAAGAATTAATAGCATTAACTATGGCTCCATTCCAGCAATAATTACAATGCAGTGCAGCAATTAATGTTGTTAGTCACAGACAAGTCAAACTGTTCGCTGTTGAAAGGGTTTGAATAGACCTTTTCAACAGCAAACAGTTTGACCCAGAGGAGCTGATCCCCAGTTTGTGAAACACTGCTGTATATTATTATACACTTACATTATTATTACTGCAGCTGTATGTAACACATGCACACACAATCTTTATTATAAAATCAGTTTGCGAAAGACAAAAAAAGCCTCTGGTGATTACTCAGATATCTTTCTTGAAAGGGTAAAATTAAAATGCAAAAATAAAAAAGTAGCAGCAAAATATCACACAAATGTAAGGCTTTGCAACAGAAAACCTGCTTGCTATTAAACCTTAAACACCTTTTAAATTAATATGACAAATTTGCTAGCAAACAGCTGCCAATTTACACAACTAGGTAAAAACTGAATATGAGGATCTAAAATGTCATTATCATTATTATGACTCACATAACACTCAAACATCTGGAACATGTGGCATTGTGATTTGTGAATGCAAAATTACATTGAAATTACAAGGTATTTCTCTTTCCGTGCATGACATGTTGAGTTACAGTTTACATAGTTAACTAATAAACCTGTTCGGGAAGTATCTATAGATTTTAATTTTCCATATCACGCCGCACCTCTGCTTGCAGATTGTTCGGATGCTGAGAAAAGGTGTCTCATCCTTTTTTATACATATTGTTCTGTGAAAAAGCCATCACTCACCACCACCTCAGGCCCGTTAGCAGGTGATTAAGGTTCTTCCAAAGGCCACGGACAAAGCTAGCTAAATACTAGGCTACTTAGATTCTGTTTCCATGATATTACAATGGTCTGCAATGGGCAAAAGTCAAATGCACGTTTGTAAGCCTGGTTGTTCCAGGGCAAACTCTGTATCTGAAGACTAGAAAGGATCTCCCCTGTATGAATGCGCAGAAAGTATGAAAACCAAAGTAAACAGATTCTGGGAGGAGCAGTATTTATTCAGTTATATTTACAAGGCAGAACTGATCATATGAGTCTAAAGAACTTCAGAACCATGAATGATAGATCACCATTTCCATTTGAGTCTTAGCAAACATTTTACAGCAGATGCATGGAAGGCAAATCAATTGTAACACTATACATATTGTGCTTTTATAGTCAAAATGAACATTTAGATTTTAGGAAAGGTCATGTCAGCCATATGTAGATCTTGCTATACACCATACAGGGTGTGACTTGATATAGTAAACTATAATAACTCAAAATGGAAAGGCTACACAGTATATTCCTTTACTTTTTCTGGATTTCTCTTAATCATTTAGTTCAGTTTAGTTTAGTTGGCACTCTGTACATCCAACTAACCATCCCAAAACTGTGGTAAGTGAGCTAGGATTGTTTCAAGGAGGATAAATATTTGATGGGACTACTCAGGGTTGGTTTATTGGTGTGAAAAGAGCCTAACAGGACTGAAAAGAACTCAGAAGTTTAACTTTTTCGCGAACATTCCTGTACCAGAAAGGCAAAGGAACAAGAAGAAATCCAGAATTGAGATGGCACTTTAGAAACAGACAAAAAAAATAAAAAATAAACAGACATGTCATAAGTCCTATTTTCTGTACCGAAGAAGCATAAACATGTTCATGCCTTACTAACAGCTACACAATGGCATGACATCGGTCACGAGACTTAAAAACAACAAAAAAGACATTTTAGGAGAACACATCACCTCATAAACATAAGTCGATCACATTATATGCTGAAACCATTCAAAGGTTATGAGACAAATCGAATAGTGCAAAACGAGGCAGGCGAGAAATGTAATTTTGCACTTCTTCAAAAATAAACATTCTTTTTCATCTGCCCTCCTGCTACAATAAGTTGAAGTGATGGAAGACATTAGAGAAAATCCATCCCATAAAATGTACAACCCATAATGCATTAGGGTGTTTGAGAAATGTTTAGATTTCTATTATTGAAGAACATGTCCCAAATGTTGATCAGTAACGACTACAGAAAACATAAGGAGATGCCACGCTGCTGAAATCAATCTCCACATTAGCTTCTTAAACGTCAATAATGATCCAAATGTTATCCTTTCAGAAGCTGCTTTATACTGTATCAAGTTAGTTGTCAGAAAGTGTTTTCACAATCAGAGCCGACAACAAATGTTCCTGAACAAAACAGACCTATAAGAATTATACACATGTGCAATTTCTAAAATGAATATGCAAACATATGTACAATGCTTATATATATTTTGTCTTGATTATGGCCACTTTTACACAGATTTCAAAAATGACTGTAGTATATGGTGGGTTAGTATTATATTTATCTTATAGATGACATACAGTATGTAACACACAGATCATATAGTTTAGATATTATGCAGGAAACTGTATATTTGTCTAATGTTCTCTGTGTATGTGGCCATAACCATGTTACACAAAACAAACAAGCATTGCCTGCATAATCATTTTACAACATATATATGATTCTTATAGATTTGCTCATATGGGTTTTTTCAGGTCACAAAATGCAAATATCAATCATGTTCCTGCATTTTCTACACACAAGACGACTGAGGCACATCATAACACAAGGTACAGTACTGATATTAGTACATTTGGACATTTTCAGAATCCAGCAAAAGAGAGCTTGAAAAGGCCTTAAGATACAGCAGTTATGAGGCAAAAAAATAAGATGAAGGCATCCGATGCATTGGAAATCCATTGTTATTTACATCTAATACACATTATATTATTCACACGAACCAGCATGAATATCAATGTGTGCAACCAGGTGGTCACATACTGGCCCAAGCTCTGCATCTGCTACATCAATAATGTTGCTGTAAGACATCTCTGGTCTGCTAAATCTTTCATGACATATGTACAGATCATCATTGTCAGGGAAAAACCTTTTATCTCCCATTGTCAGAGTTAGTTACAACATAAGGAACCACAATTGGAGTTACAGTTGTTTCACCATCATTTCCAAAATCAGTTGTCTTTCTTCTAAGTTTTTGTGTTACATTACAGAGTGTAACTTTCTGTCAAAGTTCTGGCCTTTGAGAGCCTCACGTGGATGTATTATTACAATATGAGCTATCCGACCACATAGCAGGTTAATGACTTGATGAACCCAACCTCACTTTCCATGGTGAAACACTTATTGTAACAGAGCAGCGGGTTTTTTTGTACATCTTTAAGCTGCAATATGAAACCTTCTGGCAAAGAGGGAGAAGGGGTTCCAGATGGAGGAATAATGAGACAGAGGTTCATCATTTTGGAAAATGACGGCACAAATCGTCAGCTGTATGTTGGTAAAACGAGGAAGCACATGTAGACTTGCTGGACCACTGCTTCATATGGGTATAAATTCAAGGATTCATGCTCCATATGTCTGTCACACACTGCATAAAGAGAAGGAAATGTTTATGGATGACGATAGCAAAACAGGACAATGAAATAATGTTGCTGCTCAAATTAAAACTCAACGTTCACAATTCACAGAAATATGTATGTGCAACTTTGTGTTCAAAAACTACAGCCTTTTGAAAATGTTGCTATTGTAAATGAAAAAAAGAAGTGAAATTTTTTAGTTAATACTTAATACTTCTAAAATAACTTTTTTTTTGTACTGGAGATTTGAGGAACATTTTACTTTCCTTTTTTAAAAATCAATCACTTCATCCTCTAAACTCTTATGTGAAAACCTTAAGTACACATTGAAGGTTTAGCTAATTGGAGCTGATACAGAGTCAATCTGTTGATCCCGACTTGTATAAATTCAGTCCAGTCTCAGTTTAACTATGACATTTTATAAGGGCAGTATTACCTGTACTAACAAGTAACCTTTTGCCTTTTTATCCTGCTCCCTGTTTTAAATCCCTTCTATGTGTTTCATCATTGATGTTTCAGTATTTTGAACTTTATCAGAGAGATAACACAGACAGCAAGACAGGTACAGCATGCTACTGTACATATGCTGAACAAAATTAGAAACACATTTTTGAGTGGCCTTCTATTGTGGCCAGCCTAAGGCACACCTGTGCAATACCCATGCTGTCTGATCAGCATCTTGATATGCCACACCTGTGAGGTGGATGGATTAACTTGGCAAAAGAGGTGCTCATTAACACAGATTTTGACAGATTTGTGAACAATATTTAAGAGAAATAGGCCTTTTGTGTACATAGAGTAATTCTTAGATCTTTGAGTTCAGCTCATGATGAATGGGGGCAAAAACAAAAGTGTTGCATTTATAATTTTGTTCAGTGTACATATCCCTCAGCCAGCTGGTTTCATGTACCTCATTAACACTGTGAACTGTGCTGGATGTATGTCTAACTTCACTTCTATGAAGATGTTCACAGTAATTCTCTGATAAAATTCTTGTCTTGTTTCAGATGAGGCAGGCAAAGTTTACAGTATAATCTCATATTTTTTAAAGTCATTTGTTCTCTCTCTCAAAAAAGATGGCGGTGTGTGAAACTGAATATAAATTCGAGAAAGAAAACTTAATTAGTAGATAGAATAGAAAATTGACCCCACCTTCACCCTGTCTGCTCATTCTCAAAACAATAAAGACATTAAAAGAGTTTTCGCTCCACAGGCCATTGTGCTCATATAAATATGATGAATCCCTTTGCAATGCATGTTTATACTGTATAAATACATGCACGTAATTATCGAGTTAAATTACATTGTGATCTATAACAATAACAATGGCCTTGTACTCTCTAAAATCTGAATATTCTGTTTGATTATTTCTATTTTAGGAAAATTCACACAATTACTCTATTTAAGAAAGTGATAAATACCCGTTTGCTTAGAAAATGCACGGAATAAATGCAGTCTTTGTACTGAAATATAGCCTATAAAAACAATAAACTGGACATCACTGTGTAATTACAAGTGTCACTGTCAGTCACTATTTGGGCGCCACACTGGGTCTTCTGCAGGAAACACAACAGAGGTTTATATTACCTTCATCTGCACAGCTCTGTCCTTCTCATAATCCTTGATTTACAATCATTGACTTTGGCCTGAAAATGAGAAGAAAAAAACGCAATGAGAACTTTTACAAAGTTGGAAGGATGACAATGTACCAGAAACTCACAAAAGTTCCAACTAGTTAAATGTCCAATGTGAAAATATTATGTTTTTAAAATCCAGGGTGGACCAATACCGCTCAGACTTTTTAATTGGTTCCTGCGGGACTGACTGCTGCTGCTCCTGCTGTCTGTGCTCCTGCTCCATCCTACACACACACAGACACACACAGACACACACACACACACACACACACACACGCACACACACACACACAATACAGAGTTATTGTAGGCATTTTGGCTGATGTCCATTTGGTGGATAATCTAAAGGTCTTCGGTGGCCAATTAATTCAGTTTAATTGCTCAAACCACATTTAAAGCACAGTTATGTATGAGCACTATATATGTAATCTATGAGCCAGTAATCTTATCAAATTAGACAAATGTATTTTACCTTTCCCTCCGCGCTTTAATCCTCTCCTCGTCAAATCTGAAAATGAGTACCATTGTTATATCCTCATTCCACACAGTAAATCCCGCCATCAAGGTCCTTTTAAAGAACTAGAGTACTAATCTTATTTCACATCTATTAAACACATTGGATGTCACATTAGACTTGTTCTCTGCCAGGTTTACATGAATAATCATTTTTAAAAAGGACAGCAGCAGTAGCTGCTGCCTCCAGGTTGTGGTCACTGCCACAGCTCATTTTCTCCATCTAGTGGTCAGAGATACTTACTGCACCACACACTCGGGAACATGGACGTGCTCCATGGGGACGAGCTCTGCCAGCTCATCCAGGCTGTGGACATACTGGATCTTATTCATAAACTTCACACTATAGAGGACAACAAGTAAACAACAACGCAACCACAGTTACAGTCGATGCATCACTGAGTTGCAAAATCCTTTATAAAAACAAATAAATAAATACAAAATCATTAGAAATCCTGCAGTGAGTCATTAATGTAAAATGTGTTTTGGATTTAATAAACAGCATGAATTAGCCCAAAAATGCCTAAATTTCTTTCTCTAATACAGAAAGGATAGATTAAGAGCATGGTCTGGTCCTCAACAGATAACTGTGATTAGTACTACAAAAACATTTTAACTTGTGCACCAACCCATACTTACTCAGTTGTTGGATTGTGTATATTACCTGATAAAGGGCCTGGATATAGCCAGGACAGTGCGTATGAACCAGGTGGGGTGAGCAATGACCAAAGACTTCAGGTTCTTCCTCAGTCTGCCATCACAAACCACAAGTCCAGTTAGGTTAGTGTTTATGTTTAAAGACTTCTGCCTAAATGAACATATAGTTGTAGAGCAACTGTGAGACATTAAAAATATTAAAATGAGGATTAAAAAGGGGTTTTCTCTAAAAAGAGTCCAGCTGTAAATTGTAGCCCATGAGTCTCCTACTGACTGACAGCAAGTAACAACTTCCATTGCTCACCATCAGCAGTTTAAGATACCAGAGTGGGCCTAATCCATATATTATAGTTCTGAAAGGTAGTTTTATACACATCGTGTCAGTCAATATGTTTCTCCTTTCCTACCTTCTGTCAATCATTTGGTAACATTTCTTGAGCCAGCTAATCCCAGGCATCTTACTCCGAGGAGTGGCTCCGTTCATGTAGATGATCAGGTAATCTTCAGCCACAAGCATCTCCAGACTGCTCACCACATACCTGGAAGAGTAGGGAAGTTTGTTGCTTTGTTACAGGACATTGGTCACAGACCAAAAAACATGATCAACACATGCGTTTGTGACGGAAGCCAGCGAGGCTGTGCAGTGAGTGAACCTCACTCCCCGACACCTTAAGAGACGCACTGGCGACTGACGCTAGTGGCCATTGGTTTTAGCCTCCTCGTCAGCATGTCTGACGACCGGTTTCACGTACATTTGACCAAGCCCTGTGACTTGATAACTGCACTTAGGCTGCTTCACTTCTGACTTACGGGGCCCCGTGTCAGGCACGCAATTTCACTATCCATGTACAGCATCAAAGTATGTAGGCTACTTAAAACAAACTAAAAGTCAGCCATGGCAGACTCACAGGAAGAGGTTTTCCATGATGTAGTGGTAGTCTGGACAGCTGCTGTCAGGCAGGTAACAGGCAGAGAAAACGATGATGGCATTAAGGCCCTCGCCATAATAACCTGATAAGAGAGAGAGTTAATAGTTAAAAATGCTTCAGGCCATGCAGAAGGCATGCTACTTAAAACAGCACAATACTTCTCTTACATGCATTATTATAATATTATATCAACTTAAAATCTCTCTTCCAAGCCCTTGTAAGTTATCAGATCAGTTTCTGTCTTTTCACTGACCTCCGTGTGTGATCACCCGGAGGTAGGGTCTGATGACCTGCATATCAATACGATGCTCCTGTTCTCCAATGATCACCGTCCTCCAGAGGCGTCCGTTGTTGGCATTCCCATCCCCGTCTGCTTCTCCTGAACTGTCACTGGGACCTGCTTTAGCTGAGGCCACCGGCGTGTCGTCTGGACAGACACAGAACCAAACTTCACGCTTAATTCTGCACTGAAATATGTACAATGCTGCATAGCAATGGTTCCAGTGTGAAAAAAGAGTGTGAAATTTTTTTAAGCAAGGTTTAGGTTGAGCACTTGAATTAGAATTAGAGTTTGTGTTAGCAAAACTACAGTACTTTTTGTATTACTGTTTTAGGATTAAGCTTAACATTCATTTACTTTGATTTTGAATCAGGCTTAGATTGAAGATAATATAACTCTTCAGTTGTGAATACACTTGTGAGGACAATTTGCAAATAATAGCAAAGAGGATATTGGGTATAAAATAACTAGACAGTACCTTTCGAACTACTAAGTACTTTGCATAACAAAATAAGGTTAAAACAGTTAAATTAGGTTTTAAATAAAAGTACAGAAAATGAAATATACTAAAACTAAAATAAAAAAGAGTGAAAGAACAATAATGAAACACATCAAAAATTTTTGGAAAACCATGAAAAATAAAAATTAATGACAACAAAGTTTCTTTTTTAAAGATGAAAGGTTTTGAGTGTTTAAAAATATGTTACTGATTCTGCAGGCTTCAGTATGTAGGCTTATTGATATTACAAAACATGTTACATCATTTGAATTATGGCTATAGTTTTGAAAGGTCAATGTTATGGTTTATGGACAATGAAAGGGATAAACAGTCATAATTGTGCTTTTTTAACCCGTGATGGACTCTATTTCGATTCTATTTCACTTTATTTTGATTGTACATAATTGTTATTATTATTACTTTTATTATATTTGTATGTATATAGTGTGTATATATTTCTTCACTCATCTACGTAGAATGCTGAACTGATTCTACATTACTTTTATATTATATTTTGTTCCTCTTTCTTTACATTCCTCTGTGCTGCTGTGCCATCTGAGGGATTTATAAAGGAATATCTATTATTTTATCTTACCTTCCCACTCCAGCTCGTTGCCATTGGTGATGAACTCCAGCGAGTCTGTCTCGTCAGGCGTATCGATGTCATCAACATTAATGTCCAGGTCGTCCGGTGTATCCAGGAAGTCATCTGACAGCAGAGAACCCTCACTTTGGTCCAGTGAAAGGTTCATCTCTGGGGCAACCAGTGTACGCCGTTTACGGTGGGACGAGGACACACCGCCTCCGCCTCCTCCAGGTGGGCTCACATTCAGGGAGTTAGGGGGAGCTACAGCAAGAGAGGAGAGACAAATCAGGAAGTGTAATTAATGTCATAAAGTAGGGGATGTTATTATCTTTCCGTTATCGACCAGGTCAGTGACCCTCCCACTCCCCAGTGTTACTTACAGGCTCTGTCGTCTGTGAGACCACAAGAGGCATCCATGTCTCCGTACTCTGGTAGTGGTCTGGAAGGAAACATACCCAGTTAAGCAACCAGCACGGTGCTTGTTGAGTCTAATATATAAAACAAAGCAAGTCATGACGCTGCAGAGAACTGATTTCCAGTAGAACAATCATGTCTCTGCGACTTGGACCACTTTTTCACATTTTTGTCTGTTACATTGCACTGGTATAAACTGCACCATAAAACCATTAAATGTAACACTGGGATTAGGATGGTGTTCAGTGGACCAGTCCAGGCGTAGGTATTGTCAATGATCTGGTTAAGCACTAAAAAAGGAGCAAACAGAAGAGGATAGCAATAGTAATTAACTTGTCTCTGGGTAGAGATGAAGACTACAGGGCTGCCAGGTAGGACGTGAGGGGAGGAGAAACGGGGGAGGAATAAGAGACGGAGAATAAGTGGAAGAGAGAGAAGAGGGAAGAAGTGTACGTGTGCATAGAGACAAAGTGGTGCAGGTTTCTTTCCCCTCACGCTGCCTGATATTTACTGCTGACAACCTGCACAGACGCGGGAGCAGACAGGAGGTCACATGTTTGTGTGTGTGTGTTTGTTTAGCATGTGTGTGTTTACTTGAGACTTAGCAGAACTATGCACATTAAGACTGATGTGTTTACAGGTGCATGTGTGTTTTTTGCAGGTCAACACCACCCGGTGCAGCCAAATAATTGGAAACAGGGTGGTATAAATAAACGGTTAAAACACAAGAGATGCAGATAGGTACAGCGCAGTGCTATTCAGAGGGTCTTAGCAGCAGTCCTGTGAACACCAACTGCTTCATCCTCCCATCTAGAGGAGGACAGCATGTGGCTGTGTGTGCTCCTCCTGAGCCAACAACACTGGCCTTAGCCCAGAGAAACAGGCAACCCTATTCCCTGGGGACATCTGCAGTGATTACCAGTCCAACGCTTCCTTTGTCAGAAATGAGGCCCTTTCTATAAAACATAGCAGATTTCTGGATTTATTTCCTCCTTTCACAAAAGCAAGATTATCTCTTTTGTCCCCGTTTATGGCTGCATTGTCTGAACTGAACTGAACCAGTGATGCTTACCTTCTGGAAATAGCACGGGGCTGCCTTTGTCAGAGCCGATTCAAATGAGCTTTTCAAACCTCACACACTTTTATATTTGGTTTGCTTACTCATTCCCTGTCTTCTCAGCTGATAACAGGCAGTCTAGAGCCGAGCATCTCTCAGGGGCTAATTTAATAATCCATTTGCTGCTGGTTATTCCTCTGTCTCTGTCTGTCTTTAACCAAAACCTTCCACCATTTTCCTGGCGATGCTGTGTTGTTGATCGGCGACTGCTGTTGCGTCACATGACGTAGCCTGAGAGCAGTTACAGACAGAGCTGCACCTGCTCCCTGGCATCCTGCCTTCCAGTCTGGTGGAGGAGGGAGGAGGGAGGAGGAGGAGGAAGAGGAGGAGGAGGAAACCCAGCACTCACTGTCATCACACTCTTTTTCTGCCTGTCAAGTTCTGCATCTCATCCTCTGAACATCAAATTCCCACACTTTTTCTAAAGCCTTTAAATCTTTACAGTACATTAAAACCAACTTTTGTTTTTCCTTCATTTAACTTTTTCTCTGTTTCTTCTCCTTCTGTGGAAAATCATCGAACAGCTTTCTTATCACATAGCACAGAAGTTAAATGACACACTGGTCAAATCTCGCTATAAATAATTTCACATAGTACACATAGTAAACATAGTAATTATTAAAACACTTCAGATACAACAGTAGGCTACATCAATATCTCCGCTGATGCTTAGAAAGTAGAACACAAGATATGGCTTTCATAAAGATAAGTATGCTTTAACAAAAATTTAAAAAGTGAAAATGAATGAATAAAAAGACAAATTAACATAAATAGCACAGCTTCTTAATCAACCCAGACTAAACTGTCCCAGAAGTGACATGGTGCAGCTGGCCCATAATTAATAATTAGCTGCAAAATTAATTCTAAATAATGAGCTATTCATCATCAACACCCACAAAAGCCCACACACAAGCACACTCATGAGGAAACATGAGGACAGCTTTTTTGCTCAGCTGTCTATACTTATCAGCTTTGAACGTCGACCAATTGACCATTGACAGTTTAAAAGATGATGACCAGTAAGAAAGTATAAGGATTTCACCTGGGGAAGTCTTCATCCTGCCACTCATCTTTCACTTCCATGTTCTCCATTCGTAGAGTTGCCTCTGTGGTGCCCATTCCTCAGAGAGGAGAGCAGGGGCCTGGAGGTGGGAAGAGAAAAGTTTATCAATGAACACCATTCACAATAATAGAGGAAAAACTGTCACACAATAAGAGTGTCCTAACTAGACAGTCAGCTTCCTCGCTGCACTGCAGGATCTTGTGTTTGACTCAGATGACAAAGGGAAAAGTCGGCATTGTAGGAGGATTTTATCCAAATAATTTTCATTAGAGTTTCGGGCCTGTTACCACTTTTTATCACATGGTTTTTTATCCCCCCCCCCCCCCCATTCGCAGAGGAGCACATGTGAGAGGCTTGTGACTGACTCGGACAGAGCCCATATTCTGACCCAAATATTATGTATGAATTTCTTCCTAGGTGGAATTCAAGAGGCCAATGAGGAGGGTGACATGCAGACCTAATCCTCCCTCACCGCCCCTTAATAATGCAACACTGATGACTGCTGCCTGTTTGATCTCTACTCACACTGATACTTTGTGTCACCAGTAGTATTAATAGAAAAACTTCACTTCAGCTTGAATATTCATTTGTTTGTGCTCAAGAGTTTAAAGATTTTTCACGTACTGATGAATTCCTATATCACAGTGACTACTCGCTGACTACATAATCAATGGTGGCATTAGGATGCACTCCACTCCTCTTAAATTACAGGATTTAATGCTAAAATCTAGATGCATTATCACAACACAATAGCGACACAATAATAACAACAGCACAGGTCTGTCCTGGGTGGTGAACTGAATGAGAAGAGCACTGTGGATATTTAATTGGACCTAGAGTCCTGTTCTCTTTGTAGTTCTCCATTCAAGCATACAACCCACAAAGTCTGAGCAGGCTGAGTGACAGAGGATTCCCAGGTCTGTGTTGGAGGTTATAATTAGAAACAGACTCAACACATAGTGGTGCATCATAAGTGCTTGTCTGGGAAGCATCAGTGCAGTTCAGAGTGTGTTAAGTGACTACAGTGTGACAAAAATACTTAGAGGAAAGAAAAAAATACAACAAACCCAGTGTGATCGTGACATTCTCGTCAGTAGTGAAAAGTGAGAAATAACACAACATGGGGTGCTGTGATATAATTACTGGAGGGGAGTGGTTTTGGTGGTCTTGGTGGTTTTGACAGTGACACTCATGGCTGAGTCTAAACTGGACGACAGCCAAGTCTCACATAGGGGAAATAAGGCTTTTCATTGCACATGAGCAATAAGGGATTACACTATGAAGTCTAATCCACAAACACATCCCACACACACACTGAATGTGATAACACCCCGAAAAAGAAAGTGGTAGAGTCAAACTGTGGATTGGAGAGCAGAAAACGGAATAAATCATGTATCATCATTTAGCAAAGACAAGGAGGTTTCTTCATTCTCACACCATGTTTGACAGGCTGGGAAATTTTGACCTGTGGGAAAATTGTGATGGTAATGTGAAAATATTCTTATAACAATTTAAGGTTTCAACAAAATGCTGTATGGAGAAACTGACCTTTAATTTAAGATGCAACCTATTTCATATAGATCTTGTTCCTGTACTGGTATTGTGCCCTCCATGTTCACTCTGTTTCATTCTGTTTGAAAATATCAATATTGTAAAAAAAAAAAAAAAAAAAAAAAAAAAAAGGATTTCACCAAACAAGCAGCAGTTTCCACAACAGAGTAAAATGGCCCTGCAGCCTTTCTAGGTCATCCCAAATGGAGAAAACCCTAAATGGATTTCATGTGTTGATGGACAATCTAATGTGCATGCAGTGAGTCTACGGCTACTGCTTTGTGCAGCGAGCAGAATAGAAATGCAAGGTTAAGTCAGTGTATACTCACATGAGCAGTGTGAGATCCCCTAAAAACCTCTCGCTGGTCCGTGTCTGAGTGTCCTCCCTCTTCCTCAGTCACAGATGCAAAGATTCAATGGGAGAAAGTCCTTATCCTCCACACCAACAGAATAGCAGGGGTCAGGCTGATATTTCTCCTCTCACGCTCCCTGTCTTTCACTCATTCACATGCACACACACTCGCTCGTGCACAGACACAGTCATACAGTGTCCTCGATGTCAGCCGCTAGCCAGCAGCAGGTGTCTGTAAACAGGGGGCACCTCTGTGATGGACCCCACTCCCACCCCCCACTTCTCCTCCGCCTCTGGCCACCTTTGTTAGGGAAAGACTGGCCGTGAAGAGCGAGCCGACAGCCTGCCTCTCAGCTCTTCATCCACACCACCAAGACACAAAATTCCTTTAATCAGAATGCATCTGCTCTGGCATCATGACCTCTCTCTCTCTCTCTCTCTCTCTCTCTCTCTCTCTCTCTCTCTCGCTATGCCCTTCTTTTCTCTGCTTGTAGCTCCAAATACCTCTGGAGTATGTTTTTCCACTCCCAAATATCAATGTTTGAGTTTCCTCTGTATCCCAATCTCTCTGAGGAGTCAGCTTTTTTTATCCCTAAAGCAACTTGGGGAAATTAAGCACCAGTCTCTGTGTCCTTTAGATAATCCTGCTGTTATTTTCACTGGTCCTCTATGTGGCTGCTGTTCCCTGACAACAGCATCTCTCTCTTCATCCTTAGCTTCTCCCCTCCCTCTGTCTCCCAGTATACCCCAACTCTCCCCACACTCATTAATTATTCAGCACCTTACTTCACTTGCACCCAACCAATCATATCACCCCTGCCCAGACTCCCTGTATGCAAATATTGACTCTGTGTACTCACACTAACAGGCTTTTTTCTACTAACCCTACATGCCACAGTAAAAAAGATATGTAGGTCAGTGTTTCAAGTGATATTTGTACATATCTTTAGATTTATAACATATATCTCCCCTATCCTCAATTCTGTGCCGCTCCCGATGCGAAGTCATTACAACCCAAGGTCGTTTTTTTTGTTTGTGTGTCTGTTGTTGTTGGTTTTTTTTTTTTTTACATTATTAGCTATTTGTAAGATTACACTGATAGAGGACCTGAATGTGATATTCTATAGTTTTTCTGGTCTGTATGGTATTTGGGTTTACATTACATTGTATCGCTATCGTCGGTGACTGACAGACACGCGACATTCAGCAGATTCACCGCAAGCAAAGCGAGAGGATTCATTTCTTTCCACTTCCGTCTTCGTGTAAACACCTTTTTAGACAGTAGAAAAATAGGATTTAAGCAGTTTCTCAATGCGCTTTAAATTTTTGCAAAATATGCTCATTTTATTAACTAAAATAATTTTGCTTTCCAATTAATTACATGAATAAAGTCTATTCGAGTGATAACGATAACAAAGAAATATCATCCTCCTTTCTTCCTACTCATTTCTCCTCTGTCTTTCTTTTTTCAGATCTTTGCTTTTCAGTGTAATACTCCAAACTGTTCCTTTAAATCATATTTCTACGTTTCACTCGGAAGCAAAAACCTTCCTTCTCGAAATAATTGTAAAAAATGTTACACCGTGACACAGTGACGTGAAATAACAAAAGCAAATCATGAAAATCTATTTATGCTATGTAAAATGATTCTCTAAATGAACTGAAATGATACACTGACACAACATTTTCTCACTGTACATTTATTAATAATGTTCATTTTCTCACTGTGTAAAAATATGTTATGTCTTACGCACTTCCGGTGTAGCAAAGAAGCGTAGCCATTGGCTGCTGTAGAGGGGGTGAACTATCTTGACGGCCAGAGTTTAGTGTTTCACTGCTGTCTGCCAGCACTTTACTGTACTGGAGATGCCAAGATGGCTGCAAGCAATTATTTCGGCTTCACACATGGTGCCGGTCCGCAGTACAGGTAATTTAAGTGATGCAGGTTGGTGTCAGCATGTGTTTTGAGTCGCATTTACCAGTCGCTGCTGTATAAAGGTAGAAACACGGTCACTGGTGGGATTTCACTGCGTGGCGGTGAAGAGACAGGCTAGTTCGGCTAGCTAACGTTAGCTAGCTGACTTTGCAGGCCAGCGCTCCCCCGACACGCTGCTTGGCATTGGGTGAACCCCAGTCCAGTCATCTTCGGTCGGAAAGCTGCTAGTGATGGTTCAACACCTTACCACTTTAATGTCAAGCAAAACTTCAGGTATAGCAAGTGTCTCGCGGTTAGTCAGTCGAGCTTGTTGCAGCTGTGAGATATTGGCCGGCGTTTAGGACTTAAGAGGGTTAACCCTGGTGAAGCTTTGCTAATGGACCGGTTTCTCACAAACAGTTCGTTTGCTGTAACGTTAGTTGTATATGTTTAGTTACGACATGCTGCCAAAAAGGAACATTTAAATAGATGCTAGTGTGAAAATGAACACCGGTCACGAGTAAAAAAAAACTCCAGCAGCATGATTTTGTGTTTGGCAAGTTTGTATGACCGGTAAAACAAATAAATTGACTGGTAATCAGATATAATTAGCATATAATGTAATTATCATTCATTGTGGTTAGTGAAATGTGAAGGTTTCCTGTTGTGGTTTGTTGGCAAGCATTCAAGCCAACGAACCTGACTAACAGGAGTGGGCTATGTTCTCTTTATGTTCCTTTTCACACGGATTTCTCTGCTTATGGCCTGATTTGATTTGATTGATCTCTGATTTCTTGGTTTATTCACCAAAATCTGTACTTCTCCTGGTTTTAATGCATTGGTAACCAGTCTTGAATTTTAATCCTAATTCTTGATTGAACATCAACTTCTACAGCCTCAAACCGGCCACAGTGATGGATCTGCAGCAGTACAGTAAAATTTTAGAATTTTTTCAATTCTGAAATGAAAACAAGGTCATAAAGAGGGGTGTTTATGGCTCTTCTCAGCCGTGGCTCTTCTTAGTTATCATTTTACTCATCAAAATCCAGTTTCCAACATATTCCAAAGTATTTCAAGACACCCCAAGGGTGTTGTAAATCTGCTCAGTCTTAACGTTCTGTCACTTCAAAGGTTGCATTGTCCCTTTTGAGTTATTCAACAGATGATTTAACAGCAATTTTACATTTCAGTTGTTTTCAACAACAATAGTAAAACTTGACAAAGGAATAATTCATGTAGTCCCAAGGTAGGGCTGCACAATTAATTGAAATATTATCCAAATTGCAGTAAGTGCAATATCCAGATCGCAGAAGCTGCAATTTTTTGATAAAGTGTGTGATAAAACAGCTTCATAATGAAGTAATGTAGTGCTGCAGAGATGTCTATCACTACTAATCTTGTTCTCTCTAGATGTCAGAAAACATCTCGCATCATCATGATTTTAATATTTATTTTCTCTGAAAATTATAATGGAAATATAATCATTCCCACAAAGCGTGAATCATATCGCAATGGTACTATTTGTCCAAAAAAAACTAACTAATTTTTTTTACTATATCCTGCAGCCTTATCTCATGGGTTATATCATCATGTTGTACATCCTGTCTGTAGTACTTAACTCTTAGCAATTTAACAAGCAATAATTGAGTATCAAGGCTTGTTCTCCATTTAGCATTATGAAAACAGAGACATCCCTTGTCCGAAACTTAGAGTATTTAAAACTGAGGCATTCTGAAAGCAGGTTTGAGAACAGGGATGGGTCAGAGCAGGCAAGTAGGTCACAGCCGAGTGTTGAACCAAACTTATTGATTTTGTTTTTCTGTTTATTTTTGGTGAAATGGATGATGTCACATTAGTTCAGAACGGCATCACATTGTGGCACTTGCGTAACCTAATTATTAGAACTTGGAAGTTCTTGTCCACAGTGTGACATAATGAAATTAGAGGCATGTCTGTAGAGGAACTATTAAGCTACTTAAAAGACGATGCACAGACTAGTCAACCTTGGACAAATGAGGTTCGCCAAAACCCTCCTTGGTAGTCTCAGTGTGTAAGTTTCCTGTATGCGTTTTATTGTTCAACTGTTTAGTAATTGTACTTGCTCCTGAATATTTTTTTAGACAAAATAGTGTGATCACTAGTGATGGGCAAATTAAGCTTTTGTGAAGCACTGAACCACCTGAGCCAATTGTTTGGAAAATGGGTTTATTACTCGAAGCTTCAGTTACAGTGACCTCTCCTGGCGAAGTTCAAGGCTGCAGGCAAATTAGACAGGCTAGCTGGTGGACAGGAGGCTTTTAATTACATTTAATCACCCTTGGATTTAAAGTATATTTACTTTGAAAATTCTTTGATGCACACACATTAAGACTGAACATCATGTTCAAATAAAGATTGATGAATTCATGTATTTTGTTATTGAGGAGAGAGTGCTGGGAAATATGGTACAGGTTGGATGTGCTTGAATGTGTTAGATGGGGTGCACAAACACTCAAAGCTTTTGAGACGATCGAGGCAGTGCCAGTGAATCACGTGACTGGACCGCGAACCAGTCAGTGATTCATTCAGTAAGTGAAGCAGTTGCTGCTTCGGACGTCACATATCACGTGATTTTTTTTTTTGCACCAAAGCAAGCTTTGAAGCAGTGGTTCAATAGGATTGTAGTCCAGGGGTTTGAAGCGTATATCGAAGCTTCAGTGTCGCACTGCCATCATTAATGATCACACTCAAACACACATTTTGATTCTGCACTTTTATGATCTTAAGGCATCATTTAATTTTAGCCCTCTCATGTTCTTGTCTGTCTAGACACTGAAAGATTAATAAAGATCCTGATGGCATCAGTCACTGATTGGCAGTAATGGCTGCTGTCTGTATCACAAACGACACGGCTGTGGGGCGTTGTCCTTTTCTTATTTCTATGTATGCTGATTAAAATTAGAGAGAGGTCAGAGGTCAATGCAGGGTTGCTCAGTCAGTGTTAAAATGTTTGTGATCACAATTTTGTCTTCCACAATTAATTCATCTTGTTTGGGTGATGGCATGTAGCATTAAATGTGCCTTCCTATTTTTAGAGCCTGTTTTTAATCATGCTTGCAGCATGGCTGTATGAATGACAATGTCAGTCTGCCAGTTTGTAACCATTTTAGTCCAGACTGAAGTATCTCAACTATCGGATGGATTTACATCAAATGTTGTACAGATATGTGGTGCACAGAAGATGAATCTTACTGAATTTGGTGATCCAGCAACATTTCCTCTAGTGTCACAGGTTCACATTTGTGGTTGAGTGAAATATCTGAACAACTACTGGATGATTTACCATTAAATTTAGTGCAGACTATAGCCATTCAGGTGGCATCAGAATTAATTAGAAGAGGTGATCACTTTGGTGATTAACTGGCTTTTTTTAGCTCGCAGTCATTTAGTTCATTCATTTCCATCCATCGTCAACCACTTATCCTGTGTACAGGGTTGCGGGGTTCATTCATTTCATTTAGCTTATTTAGTACAGCCTCACAGAGCCACTAGCATGGCTGTAGAGTCATGTTTAAATATACTTTAACATTTTGAAGCAAGTTTTGTTCAGAGTTCCTTAGTATGGAGGAAAGAGAGTATGGGAAAATATTTGTGTTTCCAAACTATTGCCCTGAAATATAAATTCAGAATTTCTAAAAAAAAAAAAATGAATTGATCATACAAGCAGAATGGTTTTCATGGTGTATGGAGCAGGCAGCTTAAATGTTTACCACTGTGTGAGAGAGCGCGTGCCAGAGCGAGTTTGAGCTCTGTGCTCTCAGTGCAAGAGGTCGGGACTATATGAAATCCAGAGTACATCGCTGTCTCCGTCTCTCTCCTCTGCTTTCTGTCAGGTGTGGGTGGGTGTGTGTTCACCCGATGGTGGGGCTGAGCTACACACAGAAGTACAGCGGACAGGAAGAGCCATGGCTTCTGCTGCATGCGTTCACACAATAACAAAGCAAAGTGGCTCTGTCCTGCAGGATTTTGCAGCGTTCGAAAGCAATTGGAAAATAACTTTTTATTTCTGTAATTAACTGCTTTGTTCTCGCTAATGCCGCTTGTGTTCCTCTTTCACTCTTGAACTGGCTCAACCACTGCTGCTCTCTCTCTCTCTCTCTCTGCATGGGGCCAACTTTGTTTACAAACAGCAACTCATTCTGTCTGTGCTTAACAACAAAAGACTAGAATCCCTTCATTTAAATTGAGGATTTTTATGTCAGAGGATTTTGTTTTAAGGGTGATGACCTTTTTAAAATATAAGATAAGAACATTTGAAAGTTTATTTGAAAACTTCCTATAGAAGCTTTGAATGTAAAACAAAAAGTGGTCAATTATTAAAACTCGCATGCAGGTACAAATATGCATGAATTATTATGATAAACTGCGAACAGCTGTACTGATTATCATCCCACTGTTTGTGTTTCTCAAGGTAGCCTACATTGTCCACCTGTTAATTAGGTATTAGGGTCAGTTGTTTGAAATTACAGAAATAATGTTATTACATTGTAGTTGAGGACTTCAGCCTCAATGCCTTTATTCCTTTTGACTATTTATTATGAATGATATTTTCTTTCAACAACTTCTTTCAATTCTTGCATTTCCAGCCCGTAAAATCCATTGACTCTGACACAAAAGGAAATCATTTAACTACGTAGCCTACTTAATCATAGCACAAAATGCAAATAGTGTTACCAAATCAACAGATTCTAAACATATCAGCAAAATCAGGCAGGCAAAACGCTCTGATTCTGAAATGCTCCCTGTGGGAAATGTAGCCTGAAGTTTACGGAACGAACGGGGTCACATAGAGCTGTGAAGAAGGTAGTAGAAGCATGAAAATGACAAATTAATAACAAGTCAGTAACGTGGGGCAAGCTACATGCTCCGCTGTTGAAACGCTTCTGAGATGCTTCCAGTGGGCTATGGACGCATCAAAACTGTGGCGCAGCCGCAACGTGCTGTAGACGGAGTCAGTGGATTCCGGGTGTAACATGGCTTCATTCCAGCTTTACCCACCGTAAAGCCTCACATCTCTGAAGTTTAATGTTGTTCAAGAAGATGTCCTCTGGAAGCAGTTTTTTGAAGTTGACCTTCTTACTTCACTTAATTTCCCTTCTCTCTTCAGTACCCAGCCTCCCCCGGCCTACTCCCATCCCTCTACAGCCAGTTACAGTGTCCAGCAGGCTCCAGCTGTGGCTCATGCAGTAACTGCATCGTACGCTCCAGCTCCAGTCCAGGCAGCCCGGCCTGTAGTCTCTGCTCCTTACCCTGCCTATCAGAGCCACCAGGCCCCCCCTGACTATGCCTACAGGCAGCCAGAACCCCCAGCGCCTCCACAGCCCACCACCACCCCACAGACGTACCAGGTGTACTCCGACACGGTCAGTCTCATTTTGCTTCCCTTTTATTTTCTGCTTCTGCTATTTCTTATACCATGATGTAGTCATTATGGATGTTATGTAAATGTGTTTTGAGTCATATAGTGTAGTATAGTGTTTTAGCTGCTAAGACACTGCAGACAGCAATGTATGCCGCCTCTGTACTAACTTTCATTGCGATAGTCTCATTTTTTACAATCAAAAATTTATGCCATCAGAATGTAAAGGATGCTTGAATTTTACACACATTAGCTTTAATGCAATGTTGATATCTATGCTTTTCTTGTGTACTGTTTTACAATTGGATTAAATGCTGTCTTGTAAACACCAGCAGGACAACTACAGCTATGGGCGCCCTGCTGCTGTGACTACCTATGACAATAAACAGTACTACCAGACGAGTATAGCTACAGCTCAGAGGACACCGGCAGAGAATTACTACCAGACAGGTGAGTCAGTTGATTTTACTCATGGTGCGTCCAAAGTTTCAGTTAGGGCTGCAATATTAATCTAATCGTAATCACGATGTCGTCATGTGCAATTACATAACCGCAAAACGTGTGCGATTTAACACAACAGATATGGCGTGTGAGACACTCTTCTGTGTGTGCGCTGCATTCTGCTCATTATCCACTCCCACACCGGGCTCTCGTATGTGCCTCTACAAACAGATGGGCCTATGTACAATCAGAAAAATTATTTATGAGCAGTGTGCGAGTAACTTTTTAGGACAACAACCTACCATAACCCACCTCCCTGCTCCGCCGCTAATCGTTGTGAATATAGTCGGACTCACCACCGGAGCGCCGTCATTTATCTGGCTGTGGTCTGGTCGCTCTGTGACAGAGACAGAGTAACGTCGTCAGCATCTGTAGCGGTAAGACAGAAGAAAACTGGGATTTCACAGCCTGGATGGAGCGGCACGTTAAAGGTTCGGCGTGCTACAAAACTTTCAAATGTTGAACAGTATTATTGACAAATTAGTTTTTAGCATTAACAAATAATGTAGAGCCTTTTTCTTGTACAATGATTAAATAAATTAAAAAAAAAAACACAAATGAAACTGCTGTAACTGGATTTAATATTCAACTAGTTGTAAAATAGTATACTATTATATGAAATTATAATTAATATATAATTGTCATAGGCTACTAACAGTATACTGTTAACTGAACATTATACTCTTTATTTAATGTTATAATATTGTACTAATACACATGTATACTAGTTCCTCCTCCAGGTTGTGGATAGAGCCTCTGCAGTAGACTAATGTAGATTTAGCCGTGCCAGTGTGCCAATATTTGCACCTTCTAGCCACCTCCTCTATAGAGCAACACGCTCCCTTGGTTCTGTTTTACTAGTTATTGTTATAAATATCGTTGAACTTTTCCTTGATAATCCAGCAAGTAGACTCATAGTACCATTTGTGCCATTATAATCGAATCGCAAATTGCAATATTGTCTACAATAATCGTAATATGACTTTTTCTCCAAATCCTGCAGCCCAAGTTTCAATCATTGTTAGGGCTGCCGATTATTAAATATTAAAGGGCAACTCCACAGATTTTATACACTAGAATCTGTTTACAGGTCTCAGGGAGTTTCTTATGTGAAAACGGTTGTATAAAGCCCGAAATCTAATAAATTACCACATGTGATGTCACTTGAGTCAGTGTCTGTTGGCGTTTGAAGATTACAAGTAATAAAAATTTCTGGTGTTAGAAAGAAGTGATGTTACCAGACCTCTGTAGCCCGCTACTCTTTTCTTCTTGGGGCTAGCGGCTCAGGCATAACACACACAAATATCTGACTGCCGTTAAGTTGCGTTGTGGTTAATGTTGGCGCCAATTTTTGACAAGGAAATAGAATGCCTGGAATAAAAAAGGTGATATCTCTCGTTCTTCTGTATCAATTTTGATACTTTTTCTTGGCTCACCATGGCAAGTACTATCTGTATTTTTGGTTGGTAATAGGACTGTGCCAAATAGTTCAAAGCTTCAGTCATAATGTCGACATTCAAATTCTTAATCAACAGTTGTTAATTGTTTTGAATGTCTATTGATTTTGTTAAAACCTTGTATTTGCACAGTTGCAGATAAAGATGAGGCTACACTAATATTATGATTTTATTAGATTCCGGTGATGGCTGCATATGATTGTTTTTGACTCATGTGATCCAAACATTTCCAATAACTCCGGAGCATAGTACTTCAAAAAGTCAACATGAAAAAAGATATATGTAATTATTACATTTCAATACACATGTAACAAATGACTTTGCTTCAGTTCATATAAATCTGATTTATCAGTTCATTCAAATGGAGGATTTTTAATTTCTTTTTCTTTCATAAAATATGACCAGGGAACACCCTAGTGAACAAAGAAGTTTCTTTTATTCTTTTTTTTTATACATCTTTTAAAATCCAGTACACTAGACACAAAGCCCCATTTACTGACATTCATCTCTTCACCAGCTGATGTGAACCATCGCTCATTCACAAGTGCTTTCAGAGCACTTCAGTGGAAGCAAGATGGCAAAAAAGATTTAAAAAGATGGAAGAGAACCCTTGGGTTATAGTTAAGGAACCCTCTAAATATCTCAGTCACTGAGGTCGCAATTTATGTCTCAGCAGAAAGAAAAATACAGAAAGAAAATGGTGCTCATGGAATGGCACCATGGAGGAAAGCACGGTTCTCCCTTAAAATATATGCATGACACTGTACATCTCAACCTTGAATGTTGTCTGTTACTGGGACAATGTTATGTGAGATCTTGAAACAAAATGCTATATGCTTAATAGAACTTTAGAGATGTACTGTTCATGTCAGTTTCACAAAATTATTGTTGACTGTTATATAACAAGTGTTTCTTCTAATTAACAGTGACACACAACCCTCAGTCTTGCTGGGGGATTTGTGTCCTCACCTGTTGGTATTGTTTACATTGCACTTTTGAAGGGGGTGTGTGTAATGATTCTGCTGACCATTTGCTTGTGAAATGAGAATCTGTCCTGCTCTACCAGAATTTCTCTGACAGGCAGTCCTAGAGGAATCGATGGATGTTTCAGATCTCTTTTGCTCTCTCCTTTCCTCACTCTGATGCCCTTCCCCTCCATCTCTCTCTCTTTCAGTGGGAGTAAAGAGCGCTTACAGTCCAGCACCCACCACTGTGTACAGCCAGCCTCCTCCTCCCCAGAGGCAGATAACTGCCCTGAAACCTCTGGCGCCTGCCAGTGCCGTGTCTACCAGCTACAACATCTACCCAGTGTCCACCAGTGTCCAGCAGCCGCCCACACCCATTTCATCCTACACCCTCGGCTCCTCCTTCGGCTCCACTGTTGCAGCCACCACCTACTCAGGTAAGTCAAGAGATTAGATACTTTATTCATCCCAAAGGAAACATCACAAGATGCTCGATATACAAAGTAAAAGAGATATAGATAAAGTGTTGCATCGATAATTTTTTTCAGTGTAATAATTTTTAAACATTGCAGTATGAAACAGGGCGTATGTATGTGATAATTTGTTGCAGTATATTTACTTCCACACAATAGCTGATACATTTCTTCTTCTTTTTATTGTTGAAGCCAGTGTTATTGTTAGGTCAAACAACATAGTGGCACAGCAAAATTAATCTTAGCATGGTGACTACTCGCAGGGCTGGTAGGTGAACTGCAGTAGCTTGCAAGCTAACGTGCTAGCCAGCCGGGAACATACAAATTGCTTCCCGAACTTTTTTTATTTTCTCTACCATTGGCAATTTACTCCCACCTGGCATTCTGTTCTCAGTACTGTTGATCATTTCACTTAATACAGAGTCTTTTGAAGAGCTAGCTAGATATCTTGTGCACTCAGTAACAATTTTTTTATAATTTTTTGGCTCACAACGGTCTGCAAACCATTTCTTTTGTGCAGCAGTTTATACTTGGCACAACTTTGCGTGTCAAAAATTCACCCCTACGTTCAAAACCAATGATCGTCATGTTGCGTCAGTTCAAATGAAACCTTTTTATGGTGTGTACAAACATTGATACCTTGCTAATTGAAGCTTGAGTTTCTTATTTCTTCTTCACGTTGTCAAAGAAGATTTTGGGATTGTCTTTTCCTCCTTGGTTTTTAAGTGCAGCTTATTGTTTGCATGACTGCTGGCTGTTTGACCCATATCTTGTAAGCTTTTCTTATCTCTAACACTCTGTCCTTGCTGTCTTCCTGCTGCTTTCTCACCCTCAGGCATTAGCTACTCCAGTTATGATTCAACTGGCTACACCTCCACATCCGCTCCCTCCTATTACCAGCCAGCCCAGCAGACTCTCAACCAGCCGCAGCCTCCTCCTCAACAGCCCCAGCAGCCGCAACAACCCCAGCCCCCCATCCAGCCACCACACAAGCAACTGACAAGCTCTTCATGGAGCAACTCGGGCAGCAACATGGTGACAGCTCCGGCCGTAAACACCTACAAAAAACCCACGTTTCACCAGAACAAGCTGCAGAAGCCCAAAGGGCCTCCCAAGCAGCCTCAGCTGCATTACTGTGACATTTGCAAGATCAGCTGTGCAGGCCCGCAGGTAGGAGATTTGAACATGAAAAGCTTTGTGTGCATTAGAGTTGTGAAAGACACAAACAAAAAAACAAGGAGAAATATGTTACTATATTAACATTTAAGTCCCTGAGTACATGTTTTAATGTCTGTATGAGAACTGCTTTAAACTAGTGCTGGGCAACGATTAAAATATTTAATTGCGATTAATCCAATGATTTTCTGCGATTAATCGCATAGTTATGTGCGAAATTGAATAAAGAATTCTAAAGTAGTGTATTGTGCACTTTTAATCTAAATGTACTGCTATATACACAAAAATGCAATAACATGTGGTTTGCAAACACTTTAAACAAATAAGGTGCCAGCAGTATTCCCTTTACACAGTAGCAATAAAATATTTCTTGTAAAACTTAAAGAGGTGGTATTATGCTCATTTTTAGGATAAATATTATTTAGGGGTTGTACTAGAACAGGTTTACATGGTTTAATATTGAAAAAACACCATATTTTTCTCATATTGCACATTGCTGCAGCTCCTCTTTTCACGCTATGTGTTGTACGCTCTGCTCTTGAGCTGCAGAGTGATGCATCTTACTTGTACAAAATCTTTGTTGGGAGTTGCACATGTGCAGTTCCCAGGTAAGGACTACTAGCCAATCAGAAGCAGAGAAGGGTGGGTTGTAAGAAACAAGATAGTGTGATCCAAATCAAAACCGCTTCAGACTGAGACCGTAACCTAGCAGATGGTATAAGTTACTCACAAGTCCACAACATCATTGTTCCACATCTTACCATCAGGACTAAATGTTGAACTGTTGCCGGTGTTCTGACGATCGTAAAATGCTACCATAGCGCAAATCGATAGACACGACTAGCCCTGCTCCGTTTTCCATTGCAGATAGTACCCAACGATAGTACGTAGATTGTCGTCATAGCGACGCCACACACAACTACCGCGAATGTTCAATGCGACACACACACCAGCGATCCACACAGCTTTGAAAATATATACAGTCTACGGTTAAAACGTAGAGCGGTATGAAAACCTTCCAGCTGTGTTTTCCTCTGCCGTTGTTGCTGCAGCGGTCTGTGTGACGGTGGGAGTAGAGGGCTCCGTGAGCAGGCGGCTGGCCGGCCTCACGCTCCTCCCGCGGGTTGGCGCAGGCTTCCCCCGCAGCCACTTGCGGAGCTCCTCAACTCCGAAAATATTCAAGCACATTTTTGTTCCGCCATCACTTCTCGTAAAACTGTCAATATTCGAAATCTACACAGCTGATTTCTCACCTCAAAACTTCTCAGAAGTGGATTTAGTGATGAAATTCCATACGAAAATTGTAAAATATAAAACTTTCTGTTGCTGGCCTCTGTCTGGCGCACGCAATGATGATGCAGTGAATAGTGTATATTCTCTCTGACCAATCAGCAGTCTGTCCTGTTTTCACTTACATTTTAGTATCCCTCAGATCGCTTGGAACCTCGAAGGAGGTGAGGTGAAATGAAAAAAAGTAGCTGGAAGCAGGTGCAGGTGCAGGTGCATGTACAACATTTCTACACTGGAAAACCAAACAAAGGCGAGTCGAGCCAAAGGGCCTCCGCTCAGACTAGCTTGGTTTGAGGACGTGCCTGACCCCGCTAGCCGCTTGGCAAGCTTTATGACACGTTTTCATTGTGACGTCACAAGTAAAGGAAGTGAAGGGCTGGACTACAAACGAGCTGTTTTCAAGCAGTTCAGAGCAGAGCTTTCTGTGGGAGATGGGAACTCCCTTTGGGCTGGACTTTGAGCTTTTTCACTTTGCAAACCTGTTACATGCAGAAAAAGATATATAACTCAATGTGGCGGCTGTGGCTCAGGAGGTAGAGCGGGTTGGCCGTTAATCGGAAGGTTGGCGGTTCAATCCCTGGCTCCCCCCGATGTGGCGGATTGCCCCTGGCGGAGTGAATGTTAGTGTTAGTATGAATGTGTGTGACTGGTGAATGCAGATGTAGTGTAAAAGCGCTTTGAAAAGACTAGAAAGGCGCTATACAAGTACAGAGCATTTACATTTACAATAAAGGAGAGGGAAAAAGCATAATACCACCTCTTTAAACATTATTGTGATCAAATATAGAACCAAAGCTATTTGCCACTGCCAGGGCATTACCTTTTTATCCAGCTTGTTAAAACAAGTCACCATCAGAGTCTAGAGCCACGATCATAACATCATAACAAGCACCTTCTGAGCAACAGGTTAACATATAAAATCTGCAGAAACATTTTTCTTTTGTCAGGTACCAGCATAAACAGTCTATGTTCAGTAGCAAGTGTCCCTTGAGTGAAGGTAAAGTGGTCGAGCGCAAGGCGTACAGGCAAGCAGGCGCGTTCCCGTCATGCGCACATCCACCCACTGCTGGAGTTGAATTGTCTTGAACTTTTTGTATACAATGCACAGCACAAATCATTAGAAGAGAGACTGATCCTCACTATTTGAGTTTCCAGAATCTATTACTGTTAAATAGGCTACAGCTGTGTAGCGCACAGAAGCCGTTGTCAGGGTTACTATCCGTAGAGCTCCTGCTGTTTACTTTCGGAAATCACCTGAGGAGCGGGGAGCAACCCTGAGGAGCCAAGTGACTACTTTGTGATTTTAAGAACGTTCCTAAGACCAACATCTTCCCCCATACTTATCAGCATGCAGCGTGTAGCTGTCCACTTCGCTATGGCATTTGATCGCTTGTCTTGCTTTTGTTTATCTACTTCTCCCACACGCTGCATCCAATGTAGTCTGCCAAAGCCTCCCTCCACTGCTTGTTTGGGTGGGTGATTTGCAGGCTGATCAACATCCCACACCTCCTGACCTGTGATTTGACTGTATGTTTATTCAGAGCCAGTGAGCAACAATTAAAAACTGCGTTAAAGTGCGATAAAATAATTATCGGTGTTAATTAATTAACGAGTCACGGCAATAATAACACATTAACGTGCCCAGCCCTAATTTAAACAGAATAAAAAACAATGAAAATTTATGGTATAGTATGGTAAAGTATGGCTATTTCTGTATGTGCAGCTTCATCTTGCTAACTGGTTTTATTTACTGCATCAGACGTACCGGGAGCACCTTGAAGGCCAGAAGCATAAGAAAAAGGAGGCAGTGCTTAAATCTGGGGGGCAAACGGGGACCAGCAATGGGCCCAGAGGGGTCCAGACTCAGTTACGCTGTGAGTTATGTGATGTCTCCTGCACCGGAGTGGATGCCTACGCTGCCCATATTCGTGGGGCTAAACACCAGAAGGTTAGCACAGCTGTGATGCTTTTGTCTTTATCATCAAGTGTTTCAATATTTGTTGTTGTTTAAGAAAATATGGGCAGCTGTAGAAGATATTGATGTAACATGCTTTTGTTATTGGATATGACTGTGGTGTACTCATGTGATGTTCCATCTTAGCTGCCAAGTCTTGGAACAAAACCTGCCCCAGGGATTTGAGATAGGATTAGGTTTCAGCAGACTTAAATGGTTGTACCTCCCTCTGTCTCCCTTGTCAACCTTGGAAAGGTGGTGAAACTTCACACCAAGCTGGGCAAACCTATACCTTCCACTGAGCCAGTGTTGGTGAATTCTGCTCCAGTTATCACAACCTCGACAGCTGGGAAACCTCTAGTCTCGACGTCCACTCCTGTCTCTGTCTCAACCACTTCAACGCCCACTGCAACACCCAAACAGGTGGCTGTAAACACCATGGTCAAAACAGCAGCACCAATCAAGAAACCAGCTCCTTCCAAAATAACTGTCATTTGTAAGTTTGTTGATTTGTTATGTAGATTATAAGGGATGCTTTCTTTTCCCCATCTGACCCATTTAATATTGAATAACTACTGCTCAACTACTAGTGCAATATAAATGTTTTCCTCTGTAGTATAGCTGCGGTGGAGTGAAAAGTCAGCCGTCAGAGAGGGGAGAGACGTATCGTTTAAAAATGGGGATAGTGGTGCACATTTTCAGACAGTCACTCCTGGAAGACATGCATAGTGCTTCACTCGGTTGTTCACACGAATACTGAAATAAATGGTAATAAAAACTTCAAACCTTGATTCCTTTCTCACCCCTGCACAGCTGACCATTCACAGCGTGACGTGGATGTGTGAATGTTGGATTCTTGGTTTCGGAAAGTTACAGAAAGGGTCAGACAAAGCTTCCATTACTCCAGGAAAGGTGTGGGTGGGGGTGTCTGAAGCTACTTGACCCTTCGACAAGCAGTTCCAACGAAGTATACTGGCTCCTTTTTAGTCTTAAACAGTAATGATATGAAAGTTTGACTAGGATTACATAGTCATCTGTTCATCTCAATCAACAAAATGCTGAAGTTTAAATGCAATTTAAAGACAATAGCAGCACTTAAAGGTTCAGTGTGTAATACTTCGGAGGGTCTTTTGAAAAAAATGCAATATAATAAACATAACTGTGTTTTCAGTGGTGTATACTCTAGAGCGTGTTGTGTCACTACGCTAATCACGTAAAAGAAGAAGTAATATTCCAGAATGACATTAATGTTAGTGGTAGTAGTCGTCTGGTTTATTAGAAGTATGAAAAGAAGAGAAATTTGGACAAATGGAGGCCCACGCGTATCATTTAGCACAAGAGCTGACAGTGTCTTGGCCACCATAGCTTCGCTTGGAAAGGGGTGAGCAGTGACTTGACTGGTGCATTCATGTTGTGTCAAAATAATCAGAATCTATTTTTCCCGCAAGGAAAAAGAGAACGTGTACATGGGACATAAAGAAGTACACAGAACTTTGATTTGTGCAAAATTGCATATATATTTTACAAAACTGTAATATGGTTATAATAGTTTGCTGTCCATGTAAAGTGAACTAGATGTCTGCGTGTAGTTTACATGCTCTGATAATGCTAATCCAACACATCTTAGTAGCTTCCGTGTTGATTCAACATTCCGGCTTAAGGGCACATGACCACACACTGAAGTCAGATAACGACTTCACAACGTGAATGCGCTGTGAGCCTCTGATTGCAATTCACAACCCTCACCTCTAAATGCCACTAAAACTTACACACTGAACCTTTAATAAGTATATTTAAAATGATTTGAACAGAAGTCAAAGTGAATTTGTTTATTCCAACAAATAGGCAGATAACAACATATTTAAGTTATTAAACTACAACATTTTGCTTCTCTGAGTTTGCTTGCTGTGCTGTGTCATCAAATGCGTGGGTTTATTTTGAATATTTAAGCTTCAGTCTCACACTTAAGTGTTACCAACCATTAATGTGGCTTATGCGCAAAGTTAATATGGCTCTGCTTCAAGATGCAACTGTCAGAACAACTAAAATAACTGCTGGTTAACACACATACAGTGACAGTGCTTTTTCAAGATGCATTTTCTGTAACTGTAAGACCTTGAATGGTAACTTACCTGTGTTTTTTTTTTTTTGTTTTTTTTAACCAGCCTTTGGAATAGAACTAGTGGGAGAAATTTGCAATTATAAATAGATGTTTTTTTATTATTAAAAAAAATGGGCATGTAGTGTTTGTTAAATTAACACTCTAATCTGTAATATCTTTCCTGCCGCATAGCCAATAAGCCTGCCAGCACTCCAGCAACTACAGTGACAGCAGCAGCAGTGGTGGTGGCTGCCAAGGTGGAGAAGCCCATACAACAGTCAGCTCAGAAAATGGAGCCTCAGAGTGACGATGAGGATGGTGACAGAGCTGGAGGTCAGGGAGACATCCAACCAGTGGGACATGACTACGTAGAGGAGGTAAGCAGGAAATGAGAAGAAAAGCGATTACAGTGTTAGCTTTATTTACAGCCGACCAGTATATCGGAGGAGTAATATACAGGTGCTGGTCATATAATTAGAATATCATCAAAAATTGGATTTATTTCAGTAATTCTATTCAAAAAGTGAAACCTGTATAATGTATACATTCATTCCACACAGACTGATATATTTCAAGTGTTCATTCCTTTTAAGTTTGATTATAACTGACAACTAATGAAAACCCCAAAATCAGTATCTCAGAAAATTAGAATATTGTGAAAAGGTTCAATATTGAAGACACCTGGTGCCACACTCTAATCAGCTAATTAACTCAAAACACCTGCAAAGGCCTTTAAATGGACTCCCAGTCTAGTTCTGTAGGCTACACAATCATGGGGAAGACTGCTGACTTGACAGCTGTCTAAAAAACGAACATTGACACCTTGCACAAGGAGGGCAAGACACAAGGTCATTGCTAAAGAGGCTGGCTGTTCACAGAGCTCCGTGTCCAAGCACGAGAGGCGAAGGGAAGGAAAAGATGTGGTAGAAATAAAGTGTACTAGCAATAGGGATAACCGCACCCTGGAGAGGATTGTGAAACAAAACCCATTCAAAAATGTGGGGGAGATTTACAAAGCGTGGACTGCAGCTGGAGTCAGTGCTTCAAGAACCACCACGCACAGACGTATGCAAGACATGGGTTTCAGCTGTCGCATTCCTTGTGTCAGCCACTCTTGAACAAGACACAGCGTCAGAAGCGTCTCGGGCTAAAGACAAAAAGGACTAGACTGCTGCTGAGTGGTCCAAAGTTATGTTCTCTGAAAGTAAAATTTGCATTTCCTTTGGAAATCAAGGTCTCAGAGTCTGGAGGAAGAGAGGAGAGGCACAGAATCCACGTTGCTTGAAGTCCAGTGTAAAGTTTCCACAGTCAGTGATGGTTTGGGGTGCCATGTCATCTGCTGGTGTTGGTCCACTGTGTTTCTGAGGTCCAAGGTCAACGCAACCGTCTACCAGGAAGTTTTAGAGCACTTCATGCTTCCTGCTGCTGACCAACTTTATGGAGATGCAGATTTCATTTTCCAACAGGACTTGGCACCTGCACACAGTGCCAAAACTACCAGTACCTGGTTTAAGGGCCATGCTGTTCTTAATTGGCCAGCAAACTCGCCTGACCCTAACCCTATAGAATCTCTTTGGGGTATTGTGAAGAGGAAGATGCGATACGCCAGACCCAACAATGCAGAAGAGCTGAAGGCCACTATCAGAGCAACCTGGGCTCTCATAACACCTGAGCAGTGCCACAGACTGATCGACTCCATGCCACGCCGCATTGCTGCAGTAATTCAGGCAGAAGGAGCCCCAACTAAGTACTGAGTGCTGTACATGCTCATACTTTTCATACTTTTCAGTTGGCCAACATTTCTAAAAATCCTTTTTTTTGTATTGGTCTTAAGTAATATTAAAATTTTCTGAGATACTGATTTTGGGGTTTTCATTAGTTGTCAGTTATAATCATCAAAATTAAAAGGAATGAACACTTGAAATATATCAGTCTGTGTGGAATGAATGTATACATTATACAAGTTTCCCTTTTTGAATGGAATTACTGACATAAATCAACTTTTTGATGATATTCTAATTATATGACCAGCACCTGTATGTTGGTTAATATGCAAATTAAAAACAGTTGTATCACAAATAAAGTATAAAGTAAAAATAGTTTGGAGTAATTTTAGAAAGAGTTTTATGTATTTTGTTTAAAGGTCTCTGTTGTTGAGTTGAACAGAGTAGCAGTGATGATTTGTGCAAGGTCTTAATACCGTCTTGTAATCTGTTAAGTACTCACTAAAGTTAAGTACATACACTTAAGATTGGTGTTTAAACCACATTTATTCTCCAGTATTTTCATGTGTCATTCTACTAAGAGTTTTATTGTAGTTATTTATAAAATCTTTTGTCTTTTTAACAAAATTAAATTCCAAGATCATTTATGTTGCGTTTGTTTTCTGCATGATGTGTATTTACCTGAACTGTCTTTTAGGTACGTAATGATGATGGCAAGGTGATTCGATTCCACTGTAAACTGTGTGAGTGTAGCTTCAACGACCCCAACGCTAAAGACATGCACCTGAAAGGAAGAAGGCACAGACTCCAATACAAAGTAAGAATGCATCACTGGGCTTATTCTTGTTTGGCTGGTTATCCAGAGAGGCACAGTGAACAGGGTTGAGATGCATTCTTTCAAGGCTTTTGGTGTTTTAGATTACACGAACTGTCAACAGCAGCGTTTTCAGATTTCCAAAACACACAGTGAAATACAGACAATAGGAAAACTTCTTTTCTTTCTTTCTCCTCCTCTTTTGGTTATACAGCAGCAAAACGGGGCATGTCAGGACGCACATGCAGGTGACACTATTCAGTCTTACCAATGTTGTCACGCTATTTCACTGGACAACAGGTGGCAATAACACATCAGCAATGGCAGGGAGGAGGAAGACTACAAGCTCTTAAACATGGCTGTAGACAATACTGATTTTAAAATGCTTTGAAATAGAAGGAAATGAACTTGTTTCTTTGACCTCATGGATACACAAATAAGTTACACTGAATGTAAACATAAGTTTTGTTTGCTTACATCAAAACTCTACAGGGCACCTTTTTAAAGTAGCTGAGGCAAAGACGACTTGAGCTTGTGTCTGAAGGTTGTCATTCTGATCAGTTTTTAGGGGTTAAATGCCAGCTTAGAGTGGGTGGAAGCCCAAATGGAAATTTTACCTGCAATAGTGTGGGAATGGCCTGATAACATGCAGGATCACATGTGCACTGACTTTGATTATGTTCTTGTTACATTGCTCTTACGTTGGTTTTGTCCTCCCCTCTGTCTTTTAGAAGAAAGTGAACCCGGAGCTTCCTGTGGAGATCAAGCCAAGTAACCGGGCCAGGAAGCTGCAGGAGAGCAAGCTGAAGAAGCAGAAGCAGAAGGCGGTGCTAAAGAGACAGAGAGACGATGAGCAGCGCTGGCACATGGAGATGAGGTCAGACTCATGGCCAAAGTTAGTAACCTAAATTTGTTCCCACACGTTACGTTTGCGATTTTCCGTGGTTGGCACAGAACAGACTTAAAAGGAAAAGATGAGGAAGATTCATTCATATAGGTGATATCCGTATAGGGGAAGTCCTTAAATTTACCAGCTGACTGTTAGTCTGACACATATACACATGGGGAAAAAAGGGAATTTAAAGCCTCACACTGGTCAATCACATGAGATTTCTTGCATGTTCCATAAAATACAATATCTCAACAGCCAGAGGAAGGTCATATTAATTAGATTAGATGTGAGGATTTTATCATGTAGACTGTACAGGCAGTTTGGGGGCCAATTCAGCAAGCTTCCTAAACATGTACAATAAAACATTTGATGTACCATGCCTCTGCTGGACCTTATTTCCCATGTCTGTGTGACTAATTAGGACATTTTTTTTTAAATTGATCCCGAATTGAGTGAGCGTGCTGCAGTCAGCAACCAAATCCTTGCGGGAAATTCTGCCCTGTGAAAGTACGTCCACTAAAGTGCTTGTTTTTGCCACTGACAGGCACACATTATTATTTTTTTTATTTTATTATATTATTTCAAGTGTCTGACAACACTGTGGAAAGGATCCCTACAGAGATGATCCTTTTGAAAGAGTATGATCCTTTTTGTTTAACCAGAAACATACTATATCGCTCTCAAAGCCACCAGACTGCATTGATCAAAACAGAAATTTTACATTGCAGAACATGGGAGTTGCTAGTATACCTCTGCCTCAGTTAGATTGTTTGTGTTTTTTGTGTTATTGTAGGACTTGTTGTTTTAAAGGCATAAAAACACCCAAAAACACAAACTAACTGATCTTTGGCAGTGGTAGACCACAGAGGGCAATATAGTGACAACCTGAGTCAGTCACTGGTTACAAACAAGCACTTTAGTACTTTGACGGGGCTCAATTGCTCGCAAGGATTACGCTGCAGTCCTGTCTTGCTGCTGCCAGCAGCAGTGCTCTCACTAAATACTGGACCATTTTAAAAAAACAAATTGTCCCAATTAGTCATGTAGACACACAAACATGGGAAAATAGGTTTGAGGTTGAAAAATACAGAAGTTACCCTTTAATTGTTGTCACATGAGGAAATGCTTATTTTGTAACCCTTCAGTGCTTTTGACACAAAACATCTGTATAATAATTCTTTGATATGATCAGTACATTGTAGTAAATATTTTGATCAAGTGCTTTTTTATTGGCGCTGTGTACTTTTAATGACAGCCATAATATTGAGAATAAATGAGTTTTAATGAATGACATTAAAAACCTTCCCCTCTCCTGCAGGCGATATGAGGAGGACATGTACTGGAGGAGGATGGAGGAGGAGCAGATGTATTGGGGGGAGCAGAGACGCAGAATGACTCCCCCACCGCTGATGAGCCGCCCTGGTATGCCAGTACCCCCTCTACTGGTGAGTGTCACAGTTGCAGATCTTTTCTTTGTTTTGTGTAATATTAAACAAAAAAACAGCAACTACAAACAAACATGTTGAAGTCTAAGTGTAATCAACCACTTTACCCCCCCGTCTCCCTTAAGACGTGTGTACGTCGGCCAGACTCTCCCGATGACCGTCACATCATGGCTAAACACTCAACCATTTACCCAGTAGAAGAAGAGCTGCAGGCTGTTCAGAGGATTGTCTCCCACTCTGAGAGAGCCCTGAAACTGGTGTCAGACTCCCTGCTGGATAAGGAGATACCAGCTCTTACTACCGCTGCTGCTGCTGAAGGAGGAGATGAAAAAGGGTAATTAAGAGAGATTTCTGGAAGATAATTTACATTTTTCTCTTGGCAAACAAGGATTAAGATAGTTGAAGCCTAAAAGCAGTTTTATCGTTTTGACCTAACTGAAAAGCTACACAAAGATGCAAAGGTATGAAGCCTTTGATTATAAGGTAGGTTTGTGACATGTGGATATAGGAATTTTTGTAGTATTTCTATTGATGAGTAGGAATACCTGAAAACAGGACTAACAAATACAGACAATAAATATGAAATAAAACCTTTAAAATGAACAAAGGTCAATAGAATACATTTACGCTTAATTTAGCTGATGCTTTTATCCAAAACAATTTACAATTGCTATTTTATATCAGAGGTCGCACGCCTCTGCATCAACTAGGGGTTAAGTATCTTGCTTAGGGACACTTGGTGGACGTGGTCACAGTGGGGAATTGAACCTGGGTCTCTCACAACAAAGGCATGCATCTTATCCACTGTCCAATACACCTTAAATGAGCCCTTATAAAGTATGTTAAACAGAATCTTGGGAAATGGACAAGTATCACATGTCTCTCAGATGTGTTGTCAGGTAAAAAAGCCAATGATAAATAAATAAAACTATTGAGATTATCATGGTCCGAGTTGCTGCAAAAGAAACTGCTTTAGCTGAATTGTTTGTAAAAGTCTTCTGTTTCTCTCTTGACAGTACTGAGAACTCAGCACGGCTGCTAAAAGGTGTAATGAGGGTGGGCATCCTGGCCAAAGGCCTGCTGCTTCGTGGGGACAGAAATGTCGAGCTCATCCTGCTGACTGCTAAGAAACCAACCATCTCTTTACTGAAGAGCATTGCCAAGCAGCTGCCCAAGGAACTGGAGGTAAGAAAACGTCACCCAATTTAGGAAGCTGCTGGAGGTTAAGGGAGGGAAGAATTGTGGTAAACCCGGAATTCACAACACATTTTAAATTTAAAAGTTTTTATCTATATTGATTACAGGATTTTGAGACATACACCTGCGTATGGTATCTTATAGACAAACTGTAAACTAAATCCTGACAAAGAAATGGCAGGAAAAAGGCCTCCTTTGCCAGTTTTAGTAGTAGTTTGTTTATATCACGTTGTCAGATGCAGTAGATTTTTAAAAAGAGGAAATTATTCTTTGTCATCCACTTCCTTATGACTTGTGTCGTAAGAGCTGGATACTGAAAAACTGTATAGATATGTAACAAATCAAATGGGAACAAGAAGTTTTCAGTTGTAAATGCTTTTATTATAGAGACTTTTTAGCAACCAAAATACAAAACCTGAAATATTCCACTACCAGCTCATTTATCATTGGTGAACATGTGTAGCTGCCCCAACACAGCGGTTTGTCCTCCACACAGGTATTAACTGTGAGAGTAAAGTCAGTGTAGGTTCACTCTTTCTGTAGATTAAAAACTTCATGTTTGGTGGTTCAGGACTGACAGCCATGCCACTCCGTAAAGATGATTTGTGTAAATTTTAGTATAAATTTTGTCTTTTTGTTATTTACTCTTATTGGAGGACTTCCAGGTTTCTACTACATCAAATACTGTGTGGTTTCTAGCTTTGGGGGAGATTTTCTTTGTTCACAAATGACTGATCCGCCGCTAACCTAAAGAGGAAAAACTTTTTTTTTTTTTTTTTTTTTAACTACCATTTCCATTTAAGGCACCACAAGACAGAGGATTGACACTAAATGCAAGGTTGTGATGTGTTGTAATTCCCCACTCTTCCTCCCTCCTGCTTTAGTTGTAATAAGTGTTTAATTAAAGCTTTTGACTGATCTTTAGATTCACTGCCTGGTTATGACACCTGAATCCTACAGAGTGAGATGGGGTCCCACTGCTTTCCTAGACATTACAATTACAAAGATATAATGAATTGTTGAGAAATATTTCTATGGTAATGTTACCAGCCCTGTTTAAATAAGGGAACTGTCTTCAGGGGAAAAAAAAATTGCACAACCCAGGGTTGAAAGCATAACAGTATTGCCCTGTAACCATGCCAAACAAAGGCTATTCTTTGCCCCTACACCCCTCCTCCTCTGTAGTGAGTAATCCCAAGTGTCCTTTTAACCGGCAGACATTTTCTGAAGATCAGTATGAGGTGCAGGCTCACCCCGAGGAGGCGAACATCGTGATATTTTCAAGCAAGGAGCCCAAAATGCAGGTGACCATTTCTCTCACCTCGCCGCTGATGAGGGAGGACACTGCTGCTGAGAAGGACAAGCAGGCAGGAGGAAAAGCGGCTGAGAAAGGTTAGAGAAGCCAAAGCTTTCAGTACCAGACAACCAAATGTAAGCAATGTATGTAATACACTTATTATATATATATCTCAATATATATATCCCTTGCTCCACCCTTCCACCTTTTAGCAGCCTAAATTACAACGCAAAATGAGAGGTGGGACTTTTAAATAAAGCCCACATTCAAGTTTTTTTTTCTTTAGACCCTCAAATAAGAATGAACTTGCACATTCATTTGTCCCACTCTTTTCATTTCCCCCATTTGTTTGCAGTTACACTTGTCCCCAATTTCTTTATTTCTTTTCCACAACATGGGAATCAAAAGCCGGGCTCTCCGACCTTTCTGTGCCTCTAGGGTGTGTGTTTATCTGGTGAACACATGCTCAGATTAAACCTTTGGGAAGCTAGAATAATAGACTGAAGTGATGATCAGTGTCCAGATAATGCCCAGGGATGAAAATGTTTGAAATGGTGATACTATTTCTTCAAATATCCTTATTTTCAAACTTTGCTTCTTATTGCATTTTGGCCATGATACCTATGAGGGGATTTTGAGGTCCAGCGACTTCCCATTCCTTCGTCTGTCATCCCTGCATCATAATGTGGCATTATCAATGAAAAGGTGTTGGAGTGTCATGTTACCACCTCACAATGATCAGTACTGAAAGAATTATAAGATGACACTCGTAAATCCAGTGTCATTACCTCCCCCAACATGAAACAATGAAGGTAATTTTCAAGATCATTGTGTTGCAAACACTCCTCCGCCTGCTCCAATAACTGTCAATATTTTAATGTGTTTTTTTCCCATTTGGAAAACATGGTAAGAATGTTTTCTGCATCCGTTGTCTTTTATTTATTTATTTTTAATTTTGTTTGGGTTTGTTGATCAGTGCCCCTAATTCTGTATCAGCAGACCTAGGCAAGCCAATGGCTGATCTGAAGACCACACTTGTACACATACCACTAAGAATAGAAACATTAAAGGAACCAGGTTGCCCATGTTTATTAGGCTTTTTATTGGAGCAAAAGCCTCTTGTTAACTGTCATCATAGGGGCTGATGCTATATGAAAACTCCCAACTCTGAGAGGCATGATAAGGATGGATCTTTAATTCTAAGTGGTATGGTAGTGTAGACTTCAAAATGGCTTTGTTTCTGTTATGTATTTCCCCTGTAAGAAAGCTAATGTCCTCTGTTGTTGCTGCAGTTCTAGTGAACATACTGAAAGTGTGGAAAGACCCGAGTCCGCTTATGTGAAATATTACCTCATCGCAGTCATCAATAACCACATTGAATGTTTTGGACAAACCTGTCATTTGTCATTTTTGTGAATGTGTCTTAAATTTGTCCTCAAACTTTTTACTATTTCATAAATCCAACACAGACACAAACATAATTTTGTATTCTCTCATTTTTAGTCCTACTAATCCAGGCTTTGTCATACTGTTTACAATATCTGATTTCACATTAAGTGCTTTGCTTTTTTAAGTTGTCTTAAAATATCTTAGTATCTTTGCTCTTGTGCCTTATCTACTTGAAGTTTCCTTCCTTCCTTCCATTTAAAAAAAAGCTGTAGAAAATTAATTTTTGGATCAAAGGTTCATGTGCAAAGTCAAATGCAAAAAAGAAGAAATCCACAACACTCAGAGTCTGAGTTTATTAAACGTTTCTAAAAGTGTTAATGTGAACATCTTAAAAATTTAACTTTTCCAAATTTCCCTTGTTTGGACTTGATGGGAGTAGTGTGAAGGAAGCCAAATTTGACATGATTTAGATTTTTTTTAAAAATTATAAATAGAAATTGTGGAAAAAATGAACTTGAGAAAAGTTACAAGATTTTTAGAGAAGAGTGTGATAAGAGTCTGTTATAGCAAGAAGGAAATGGGAGTTATGAGAAGGAAACAGGCTTAAATTAGCTTGATGACGTCTTTTAATGCGTCTTTCTCCTAACACACATTTTGACTTATCATAGCAGGAAAAATAAAAATAACATTCCAGTTTAAGTTAACACAAATGAACCAGGATGCTCTGAACCACGTCCTTGGCTATGACACAGCTAAATGTAATGTAGATATTATCAGTTACACCTATGTTTGATGAGTCAAAATGTCTCTCTAGAGAAAGATGTAGTCAGGCAGATGAGTATTTTGATTAGCCAACAAATCAACAAAACAGTATTTATGTGGTTTAGTCACTTTTAAACTGAATTAAATATAATCTGATCACTCTTTTCTCTGAATGCCTTAGATTTCCTTCTTTCTTGCATGTGCCTTACACTCCAAACAACACGCTAGTGATTGTACTACTTTCTTGCAATTTTTTTCCTCTCAGAATATGTCTGTGAAACAGAGAAACACACTTGCCTTTTCTCTCATATCTTCCCCTCATCATTTTTCTCACAAACAAACTTGAGTACTTAAGGATTCAAGGAAATGTCTGGTGACATGAGATAAACATGAGAGCCCAGTGTTTTTATAATTTTCCTGAACACCGTCTGTACATCAGCAGTACCAACACTTATTATGCACTGCAGTCATCATTTGGTTTTTGCATTAGTGCGGCTGTAAGTCATCAGCTAGTACATGTTCTCTCCACCAGATGTGGGTGAAAAGGATCCTCCTGATCTTCTGAATAAGAAGAAATGTCTGGAATACCTGGCTGCTCTCCGTCACGCCAAATGGTTTCAGGTAAATGCATCACAAGAGGTGAATTGGTTACTGGCATGAAATTAAAATACCTTTCAGTCCCTTCAGGACATTATCGTGTGATTACAAGAATATACCTTTTTCAACCGGTTATTTTGACTTACAGCAGGAAAACCACAGGGTTGTAGTTACACAGATCAATTGAACGTCAAAATGTCCCTCACAAGTTCTATAGCTTGTGTGTGAGAGAGAGAGAGAGAAAAGAGAATATTGTATTATATTGCAGAAGTGTTTGCTTGTGAAATTTGAATAAATAGTTTTCACTTCCTTTTTGGCAATAAACTGAGAATTCACCAGAACCAATGGAGTTTTCATTGTAAGACATGCAGACATCTAGAGGAGAAAAAACTCCCTTGTGGCATTCGATGTTATGCCTATTTAGTTAGTTCTTATGTGGCTGCTTGTTGTGACTTCCCTGTTTAAAAGGTTTCTGTGAAAATATATTTTTATTCAGAATGGCACTTTTTGAAACACAATAACAAAAAAAAAAGTGCAAATTTAACAAATATACTGATTTAAGTTGTTTGATTTAGGTTTTAAAGCTACCCGTTAATTTATATAGTAAACTTTTCTGAAATCCAGTCTGTCTAAAATAAATTCCGTTTCCTTGTTAATTCATGTTGTTGGGGTTTTTTTTTCTTAATCTTTGAAGGCTCGCGCAAACGGGCTGCAGTCCTGTGTGATCGTCATCAGGGTGCTGAGAGATTTATCTCAGCGGGTTCCTACCTGGGGGAAGATGCCTGGCTGGGTAAGCAGCTCCAGCTGTCTGTTATATTCAGATTAGATTTTTTAATTGCCTTATTTTGGTGAGGTGTGAACCTTCTCCTACTGAAGTTTTTTAAAATATTCTCACACTCATGCAGCACTTGCATTGTTGTATGTGTGATTTTGAACTAGTCTCACAGAGCTAGACCAAATCTATCTGCACACTTTTACCGCTATTAGCACTGGAGAAAGGTCTGGGTGAACCCGTGATCAGTCTGGTATAGCTTGCTTGTGAGCAGAAGGGGTTCCAACTGAAGTTGTTTTTTGAGGAAATAGGCTTTTATCCACAGCCTACTTCCTGTGAGCCGGACTTAATGTTTGTGCTGCTATATCAGTGCTGCATTAATGCTGATTCATATGTGAGGAAATAGCTCGTGTTGTATGAAGAGTTAAGACATTTCAGTGTGTCTGTTTCTCCCTGCAGGCAATGGAGCTGCTGGTGGAGAAAGTGATCAGCAGTGCTACAGGCCCGCTCAGCCCAGGAGAAGCCATGCGCAGAGTGCTGGAGTGCATCTCCACAGGCATCCTGCTACCAGGTCAGACAAACATGTTAATGAGATGTGAATGTGCAGATGACACAGCCATAATTGGTCTTATAAACAACAACAACGAAGATAGCAGGAAGCCCAAGCAATCACTTGGTGTGTTGATAACACCTCCAGCTCAATGAATCTAAAACAAAAGGAGTCATAGATTTCAGGCACAGCCCCCTTTCGAATACTCCCATACACGCTTCAGGATAATTTATCACTGACTCATTCAGATTTCTTGGCACACAACATCAACAACACACTCAGATTGAACATAAATACAGATACAATACACAGCCATCATTGAGAGCCTGCTCACTTCATCTATAATAGTTTGGTACGGCCTCAGGGACAGTCAGATCTGCAAGAAAACTGCACCGAATAGTCAATAAATCATCCAAGATTTTTGGTACCCCTCCCATTGATTCAACGTACCAAAGAGACCTTTCTCTCCAACCGCTGTCACCACCACATCTTCCCAAAAAGTTTCAAATTACTTTTGTTACACATTGTTTTTATCTGCCGTGCCTCCCTCTGGTGCTCCAAAATCAACTTGAACCTTTTTAAAAGGAGGATGATTCACTATTTTCTGCCTATGATTTGAGCCCCATAAACGGAGACCTTTTGATACGTCCACGGCGAAAATGAAGACCTAAAACGGAGAAGTTTGGAAACGCTGCCGACCCCGTTTTGCGTTTCTAAACGGGCAAAAACGGAGGACTTTAGAAACAATGACGCAGACGCTCACGCTTAGCTCTCCAATTGGGTCTTAAGTCATGCAAAGCAGAAACACAATGCTACTGACAGAGTTTTTGAGTTGGTATTTTTATTAAAATATTCAGTACTGTGCAAATAACACTTGTAGTGAACTGTGCATGTCGCCGTTTACTTTGCAACAACTCCCAGTCTGTTTTACCGTCGCCACAGTACCGTGTTACATTCAGTAACAGTCCCAGCTTGTTATTGGTGCATGCAAAAAAAATAAAAAAATAATCTGGTCTGCATTTCTTTATTCTTTCGCCAAATCTTCTGTAACTACAGAATAGAACATCTGCTTCATGTTTACACGGCACGCTCATGCCCTGTTTACCTGAACGGCCACTAGATGTGCATTTTCAGTCGTTTTAGTGTAGATGGAGATCAACTCTGATACACAGCTAAAACGCTGGTGTGGACGGAGATCATTTTAATTCTCCATTTGTAAACTAGAACGGAGTAGTGTGGATGGGGCCTTAGTAACTTGTTGTATCACATTTACATATTTAATTTGCTTCTCCTTCCCTTACTCAGATGGACCAGGGTTGATGGACCCCTGTGAGAAAGAGCCAACAGATGCTTTGGAAAGCATGATGCTTCAAGCCAGAGAGGACATAACTGCCAGTGCACAGGTACCCAAACAGAGCATTTATTTATAAGAATTAGAGGAAGGTGTGAATTCACTTTTAGTAACTGGGGATCTTCACAGGAAACCTATGACACAGGTGTTTGTTTTCTTTTTGTGAAGTGCTAAAGAGCTTATTGCTATAGTTATTTGTGTAACCACCAACAACTGGGGGCGGGGGAAACAGCTGCTCAGTCAGAACCACGCAAATTTAATTTCACATTGATATTTGCCTGACTCTGGACTACTGCAACCAACGCTACATTTCTCTCTCCTGTTTTCTTCCAGCATGCTCTGCGGCTGCTTGCTTTCCGTCAGATCCACAAGGTTCTGGGCATGGGGTCCCTGCCGGCGTCCAAGGCCAGCGCTCGCAACCGCAAACGTCGACGGGATGGCAGCGACACGGGCGAAGGGGAGGGGGAAGGCAAAAAAGACAAGAAGGAAGAAGCGGAGAGTGCTTGACGACTGCCTACAGAGCAGAGGCGTTTGCTAGTTTAGAGACTGGTAGAATGTCACAACTTTAAACTTTTCTTATCTTGGAAACAATCTTAACACGCAGCTATACAAATGAATATAACTGACTATACATGTTACATGTCTGCCCTTGAATTAAGAGGAATATGTGTTGGAGGCAGAGGCTGAAATGTGAGAATCTGTACTGCAGTTCCTTCCCCCCGTATAGTAACTTGTTGCAAATGTGTCTTAAAATGTGCAGAGAAAATTGGCTCAGTAAAAAAAAATCATGAAAATGACTTATCATTCCATTTTGCTATAATTTCACGCTAACCACAGATTATCCCGCCCCTGTTTGTTCACATTCAGTTGTATTGTTTACTATGACATTAAAGCCTCCAATTAAATCTTTAGCACCTTAAGCATTATTTCCAGCTTTTCCCTTTGAAGAAGAGTCTGACCTCTTTGGCTCTTCAGGCCAGTACAATTATACCATTTGACACATAAGTCAGGACTCGCAGAACTAACGTTGGTGCATGATATTTGTACACTGAAATGTGTATTTAAGTGTAATAAAGCTTTGAAACGGTGAGAGAGACCAGAGAAGACGGACTGACTTTAGGATCTACATTCAAAACAGTACTGTGATGTTAATTGTGCCTAAGATGACACATTAGTTATAAAATAGTGTGATGCTTGGTTGAGCAAACCTCACAAATCCTTCCTTCATGCCCTCTTTGCTCCCTGTCCTCTAAAGCCGTTTCAACATTTCCTCCTGACGCATTTTGAAAAACTTGACTGCGATAAGTTCATATAGAGTTGTGAAATCCAAAGGCCCTGCATCACACCTTGAAAAAGAAAACTGAACTAAAAGAACTCCCCCCCCCCCCCTTTTGTTTTTAAGGTTTTGTGAGAAACGTACAAAAACACAGAAGCT